TTAAACACATTTTCCAACATAAAAACTAATTCACTTTAACCTATTGTATACTATTCATAAAATGTTCAAAGCGAAGTTTCCCTTTAAAGGACTTGTTTGTATCCCTCAATACTACATACTGTTACATACCTGCAATACACATTTGGAAAATACGTAAAGATACACTGCTGGAAGATATTGTACATTAAGATATCTAAAGCTACATTCATTTTCTATTATTAAGTATGACTAATATCTAATAAGGCCTATTATCTAGCAGGCTATTACAGAGGTTAAGAGAACAGGTGCCTAACCGGCTAAACCAAACCACACCTGCTTAACTACACATAATTAACCTGCTTCACTTGAAACAACAAGAAAACAAAAACAAAACTCACCATTTCACTCAGACATGTCTTGCTCTTTCTCTTCTGTCATTCGGCTTTACTGTCGGCAGTCCAACATCGTTAGCTTCGGAGAGAGAAAACGGGCTTTTGGGTTGAACCCGCTCCGGGGCGCAGCTCCGTTACTGTCCTGTGAACTTAACGAACAGGAGAATAAACAGTGAGGAATAAACCTCCACAGACCAGGTGTGTTTCTTATTGTTTGTCTGACAGGCTTGTTGTCTGAGGACCCATCATCTCCCTGTTGTTGTCTCCTTTGTTACCAGCAGCGTGTGAGAGGAGCGGACGGGAGGTAGGAGAGCCACCACAACCCCCCTGAGGGCGAAACACTGTCAAGTAATTTTAAGGGACATTTAGAGGATCCGGTGATGCATTTCAAAATAAAATCCATATAAAACAAAACAAAACAAAAACATTTTTCATTCATATTATACCATAAAACCATTACATACTCATGGCCAGTAGGGTAATTATAAATGCTTTGATTAAAAAAAAGAATGATAATCATTAATGACTGGATGTTGTTTCACAAATTGTGTTTCAATTACTTTTTATTCATGCTTTCTGTTCATAATTTTGGATTTGTGTATTATTAAAAAAATAACTAAAAAAAACCAAGTTCAAACGTTATAATAGATTTGTGAATGTTGTCTCTACACTAGGACTGAATTCATAGAGCTGAATTGATTTGTAAATTTTTTATAAAATAAACTTTACTATAAAATTTTAGTCTTTATGTCATTTTTTTTGTTTCATGATTTTGCTGTCCAAATCTATTTTTAACCTTTATTTTAAAAATTCTCCGTTTTAGCAGTTTTATTTTGAAGGTTGGAAAGGTACGTTTCCGTCATTTTCTGTCCATTTCTTGTCAGCTTTCCTGTCTAATCACAGTCTAGAAACTATTATAAACCTGAAAAAAAATTATGGTAAGGTGGAAGTCATATACGTTTCATGTTTGTTTGTATTACTCAAAGGGAAGTTTTCTGTTTCTGTTTCTGATGAAAGTGAGTCTAAGCGCTGCCACTCCTTCAATAATGGTTCAAATGATCCCACTTACTAGAAGAGGAATTATGACATAATATAATGTCATTGTGAAAATTGCCTGTAGACACGAAATCCTATGATACAATAGAAAACAAACAGCACCGCACTCTGTTTTTACCCCTGTGTCTTACTTCCACCTAGCGTCTCAATGAGGAAATACAACAAGTGTCACTGAAAGTGGTTAAACTGAATCTCTCTTTTGTGGTTATTTTATTTATTCAGTGGCACAAAAAGTTGAAAAAGTTATGGATTAACATCAAAAATCATATTTCAACGTTTTTTTTAATTAATTGATTTACATAATCTTGAATTGTATTCTAAAAATGTGCCTCTCAATATTTTGATTTACCACCATTAATCTGACTTTTTATTTATAATTTTATAGGCTTATATTTTCACTAACTATATCATCGTTTTTGATACACCATTTCATTGTTTTGAATAATTATTTTTAAATTCTGACATTGAATTCAAACGCAAGCTTATAATTTGACTTACAAAATGTTACTTAGAAAATCAAACATGTTGAATTACTATCTCATAGATTATTATTTTTTATTTTAAAGGTTGCTCCTCCTGTTATTTCCACTGACTCTTATCTTAAATAAAAGCTCAAGTTTTGACTTGACTTTGTATCTTACAGTGAATTTTGAATGACTTTTCATATTACTCAGGGCAGGGGCCTCAAGTATAACTTTCTATCCTCTTATTATCTAACCTACAATTAAATTAAAAACCCAATTCTACTGTTTCATAATTAGTTTCACCTATCTCTTTTTATTTTAATAAGAAACTGATGAGCTGACTCCTGCATGACAGGTGCCGTTATGACTGAGAAGTAGACCCGGTCAGTTTGATGGACGTGAGATATTCCCAGTCCTGATTACTTAACAAAATCCTTTTACTTATCGTTTAACATCTAGGACGCAACATTCCAGCATTTGTTTGTTTTTTTATCTCCGGGCTTTGACTTTTTGACAAAATTTACACGGATCTATTTAACTTGGATGCTCCTGTTGCGCACAGATACTGCGGCATTTGCTTTATTATACTCGTTGAGTCGCAGTGCATGCTTGTATCCCTCCGCCAGCAGAGGAAATGCTCCTAGACCAATCACATCTGTGTTTACACCATCACCTGTCAAACATACACCCTCTGCTACATTTTCTCTCTGAAAGGTATGGCTTCTATTATCATTTTTTATCTCCGCCTTTAATCTAATTGTGAGCAAAGTGGATGAAGTCAGTTTATAGGTACGGCAGCAACAAAAAAGAAGAAGAAGCCGGTTCGACAGCACCGAGAAGCAGCCAGGGTTAGCAAGGTTAGCGCCCCTGGAGCCTGCGAGCTGGAGCTGGTTATCTGTCCGCCTGGCTGGGTTTTTTTTTTTTTTTTTTTTTTTTAGCCGATTATCAGAAAGTCCTTGTGCCTAATCATCCCGCGGCTCAGGTCGGAGTGTGTTAGCTTAGCGAAACTGGCTAACTTGTGTTTTAAAAAAAGCCTCTGCATTTTGTTCGCCTACGTTAGCAGAGGTTAAGATAAAGACCAGCCACACACACACACACACACACACACACACACACACACACACACACACACACACACACACACACACACACACACACACACACACAGCATCCTGAAGCTAGCGAGAGAGAGAGAGAGAGAAAGAGAGAGAGAGAGAGAGAGAGAGAGAGACAGACACACACACACACACACACACACACACACACACACACACACACACACACACACACACACACACACACACACAGAGGGATGCTATTAGCGGTATGGTAAGCTAGCAGGGATGGATTAATTTCGCCGAGCATATTTCTTTTATATATTTAGAGCCTCACAGTGTTATTGATAGTCTCAGTTTCTCCTGTGTTGCAGTGGGTGAGTGCTCTTTGTTTCTGTCCCTTCTTCCTTGTTTCTCGCTTTCTTTCTCTCAACTGTTAGGACACAATAGCAGGCTTATTGCATCTACTATAGCTACAATGTAAGACTAGTGTCAGTGAAAGACCTGTATTCAAAATGTTAAAGTAGCTCAGCAGTAAAATGCAAAACATGGTGTTTGAATATGTATACGTCCGCATTATGTTTGTGTATACCATTTAGTAACAAGTGTATTAATGAGTGCTGCTGCATGGATGTAGCCTTGTAGTACTGAGTCAACTCTAGTTTGATCTGTAGTGATTCATATTTTATCATTTTATTCTGGAGGGCTGTCAAACACATGGAGATCTAAACTTGCCTCTGAAATGTTTGATGCAAAATGAAAATGAGCTCACATGTCATGATTATTATTATTATCTTACATACTGTTATATACTTTAAAGTAAAATTGTAGCACTACTGCACTTTAAAGATGCTGCGATATGGTCACTCTGTGCAATAACTTATTCCTCTACTTATATTGTGTGCTGTTGTATGTGCCTAACCTGCTGTTTTAATATATTTTAATGCATTTTTTTTTTTATCTTATTTTTTTTTATCTCAGATTGCTGCTGGGCTGTTTGTCACCAACCCAGATTTCGTTGTATCGCATACAATGACAATAAAGTGTCTTATCTTATCTTATCTGTATGAAGATAAATGTAATAAGATGATTCTATCATTTAAAAAAAATCAATCTCCATTGTTTCCTCTTCCGCAGCTTTAAGGTTGTTTTTATCTTCCACATCGTAGTAGCAGTATCATACGTGTTCCCTGTCTGCTTGTTCCACCTATCACTGAAGCTGGGTGATGTTGTTAGTGATATTATGGGTTTGCAGCACCAGTCCACCAAGTTCAATCATCACTTCATGTTTGTTTTTCTAAACTTAGCTGATCATATTTGGCAATCTCTTTAAACCTGAGGATGAAAGTTGGACGGATGTTGTGTCAGATAGTTAGCAGCTGCATTTAGATGTTCACCAAGTTTAAGAAACAAGGGGGCTGAACTAAAAGCTTTGTGCATAAATACTCTCAGTTTGCAGTTCCATTTGCTCTTGGAGTATCCCGGGTGGTTGAATGTGTAAAACTATGAAAGGAGGGTCGACGGGCAGAGAGATGCTGAGAGAGAGAGAGAGGGGAGGGGGACTAGGAAAAGGAGGAGAGTGAATCACATCCAGACAGTAGAAGGTGCAGTGCAGTGTGGGTGTTTACAGTATTAGCCCAGCCTCCGTGCTGTAGAGCTTTTTGATTTACAGTGTTTACTTTCAGCCTCTTATAGTTTTTTTTTTGTTCTTTCCCTTCCTGTCCACGCAGGAGCGGAAACACACACTCACACTGAAGCGCCTACGGTAGCCGCTAACTGGACGGACTCTCTGGCAATCGACCTTTTGCAGGTAAGCCTCGACTCACTTTCCACAATAACAGTTCATTTTTTGTTAAAGCTTTAACTTTCTTCTTCCTGCATTACTTCCCTAAAAGACTTGCTTCAGACTCATTTTTTTGTTGTAACACTTTTCGTGTTTTTTTTATCAGACAGGGTTTGGCGATGTGAAGCAGATTTCACATGGCGTCTTAGATCTTAATACACACACCAGGAGCAGATAATTACATTTCACAGATCTTAGATAATACAGCAAAGATATTGTTGTGCTGGATGAGATGAAACTTGGGGAAAAAAAAACTTGGTTTCCACCATGGACTGTTAATTACAGAAACATTTTGATGTTGTTCTTGTAAAATGTGCTTTTTTTTTTTTTGTTGGAGCACCCTAATGATTTGATTTTATTGCTGCTGCAGCAGTTAGTCACCATCAAAAATCCAATTTCCTCCCTTAATCACAAGATCGTCTGCGTGTTCACTAAACCTGCACAGTCAGGAGAGCCGTTTAAAGATTTTAAAACGTGCTCAGGGAAGATCCTGTGATTCTGTATTACAAGGAATGTCGGCAGCAGTTGTTTTTAGTCCTGCACAGCCTCACAGTGTGTGTGTGTGTGTGTGTGTGTGACTTGTTTCAACCCTGTCCCTGAGGCTGTGTGGCACCCTGTGTTTGTCTGAGGCTGCTCAAGTGTTAATTGGAGTATCTTAGGTGTAACCTAAAGCATGGGTGCGCTATAGTAATACCACAGAGGCAGCATCAATCTTCAGGGGCTTGTGCAGAGTAAAAATAAACAGCAGTGCATCGAGGGAGAGAAGCATTGGTAGAGACACAGCTTCAAACTGGACTCTTTAGTTCTCGTGGTGTTCATCTTGAAAACAATGATACTTTTAGCAGATGAAGCAAATCATTCCTCATCTGTCACCATACGTTTTCATTTATTCTCCTCCTCCTCCTCCTCCTCCTCCTCCCTGTCGCAGTGGAAAAGTGGAATAAGTCTTGAACCATGAGCTCAGTGGCAGTGTTGACACCGGAGAGCTTTGCGGAGCATCGCAGTGGCCTGAAGGACCAGGAGATTACAGGTAACATCTGGCCGTCATCCACTTACCTGACTTCACTTTCATTAGAAGGCTTTCACCTCAGCAGCCCAAGCTAAGTCAGTCACGTACAGGCCAGAAGGTCAGCAGAACCTGGATAGTGTTCCTCTTTGTTGTTGTAGTCCTGCATGGTCTCATGATGCTTTATGTATTTCATTTTCAGGATGGTGTGAGTTTAAATGTAAAGCGTTTCTCCGTCAAATAAACTTAGGGACCTATGGAATCTTTTTCTTTTTTTTTAATTTTGAAATTTTGGTTATTATTTTCTTTCTGTCATGAATTCCCCTGCCCGAAGTGCAGCTATTAGTGTTAAATTCCTCTTTTGATTTGGGCTGATTTTTAGAAGCTGACATGTTTTCCTGGCTTGCCTAGATGAAAGTGCGTCAAGCTGATTGGCTGTTGAAACATGCCTTAAAGGTCACATGTTGTCCTCCTTTTCAGCAAGTATAAATAAGTCTCAGAGCTCCCCAAAAACATGTCTATGAGGTTTCTTGTTATAAATCCACTCCGATCCATTATTTGATCATGCTTATAACGTTTTTTTTTTTAACTGTTAAATCAGATAAGGTGCTGTGGACAATGTTTGTAATATTAGGCTTACTATTGATTCATTCATTTTTGCAATTTTCCTGATATTCCGTGTTTTACAGTCGGTCCCCTCCATGTTTTTCTGGAGAAATCATTAAGCCTGCAATTATTATGAAACACCCAATTTGACCTCTGATTCATTTTAATACGCCTCTTCTGTCCACCCATCCATGCATGCACACTGATTTCTGCCTCCACCCTTGCTTCATTTATCTCCCGCTCTCTGCTCCAGGCTGCGTCCCGGAGGATGAGGCCTACATCCCCACCTACCTGGAGGCCTTCCCCCCGCTGCCGGAGAAGGGGGCACCGGGGGACAAGGCGGGGGAGCCGGCTTCAGCGTGGGGGAGCAAGATCAGGCCCATCAAAGCCTCCGTCATCACCCAGGTCAGAAAACTCAAACTACACATGCAAAAAAAAAAAAAACAATGCTTTTACAAATTGCGTTAAAGTAAAGAAAAATGAGTGTTTAACAGCTGATGTCTTCAAATAGGCAAATGAGATACACTGTCTGACATCTGAGCCTCCTGCTGTGTGCCTGTGTGTGTAGGTGTTCCACGTGCCCCTGGAGGAGCGTCGCTACAAGGACAACAGCCAGTTCGGCGAGGGCGAGGAGGCCAAAGTGTGTCTGGACATCATGCAGAGGACGGGGGCCCACATCGAGCTGTCTCTTGCCAAAGACCAAGGCCTGTCCATCATGGTCACCGGCAAACTGGACTCTGTGATGAAGGCTCGCAAGGAGATCGTCGCTCGGCTGCAGACTCAGGTAAATGAAACACCGTCATTTGAGCTGATCTGTGAGGGATACTTAGTTCATAGAAAAACACTCCTTTTTTTTCGGGCTGAGCAGAAAGGGACAAACTGCTGTATTCGTCATCATAATATCAAGAAGGATTTTTTTGTAATATAAACTTTACACTCCCAGAAAAAAAAAATATGAAGGAACAAGGTTCTTCTTTACAAGTATGGTGATTAACATCCTCCAGTAATAAAACATGAGGCTGAAATGTCAGAAGCAGGGATACAATAACCAGAAACTAAAGAAAAGGGCGAGAAAAACATGAATGACGTCTACAAAGAATGTGAATAGTTACTGAGCAATTATAACGATGCCATAAAAAGGTAAAAACAGGGTTATAGAGGAGGGAAAGGTTTCAAAAAAAGCTATTGTAATTAAACATTACTCACTGCAGACCTTTCATGCTCTCTGTAACTGCACAGCTATTTCTCTGTACAATGTTCTCTTTTAAAGAAAGAACGGGTAAAAAAAGAACCAATGAAATAGTCAGTGTCTTTGTTACAAATATAACTTCAGACGTGAAAATATCTGGAATCATTTCAGAACCACCGCTCCAGATATTCTCCTGACCTGGCTGCTCACATTATGCTCCTCACAAAATTCTTCCACAGTGTTTTGTTTTAGCCGATAAGTCAAAGAAACAACTTGGATGGTTGTAATGTGGCTGCAGCTTGAAAAGTCTTTTCCATGCACGCTGTTATAGGAGAAAAAGTTGAGCTGAAAAAAAACAAAAAAAAAAACGACCGTCAGCTCCCCGAGGGCGAGCGTTCAGCAGCAAACGTGCTGATGTCCACTTCAGTTGGTGCACCGAGGTCCACCTGTTCAGCTGAGCTGCAGTTATTGATACAAGAATACAGAAGAACCCTCCGTCCTCTCTCTGCAAGGACAAATGCTTTTGTTGTTGTTTACCAACTGAAAAAATGAATCCCAGTACGTGTAGTTTCCATACGTGGAAACTCAATCCGTTCCATCAGCAGTCGACCAAACATGAACTATTTTTTAGACTTCCTTTATGATGCAAACAAAATGTAAGAAAACTCGGCCTGATCCGGACAATTGCTGCCATTTGTTCTTCTCCTCGTGGTTCTGCTTCAGGCCTCAGCTACCGTCGCCATCCCCAAGGAGCACCATCGCTTTGTCATCGGTAAGAACGGAGAGAAGCTGCAGGAGCTGGAGCTGAAGACCGCCACCAAGATCGCTATTCCACGACCCGACGACCCGAGCGCCAACATCCGCATCACCGGCACCAAGGAGGGCATCGAGAAGGCTCGCCATGAGATCCTTCTGATCTCTGCGGAACAGGTAGGAAGTTTGTGACCGGAGTTGAATAAACTTCTGACTGATGGATCAGGAATAAAAAATGTGATTAAGTCACAACATTTTGATAAATAACCAAAATACTGTTTCTAGATGCTAAGTAACTCTGAAGATGTAATTCTGCACTTTCCTCTCTAATTGTAGCATCTTTAATATCTATATCTGTATAATCACTGAAATCGCCTCTTCCTCCTCTTCCTCCTCCTCTTCCTCCTCTCCAGGACAAGCGTGCCGTGGAGCGTCTGTCCCTGGAGAAGGCCTTCCACCCCTTCATCGCCGGCGCCCATAACCGGCTGGTGCAGGAGCTGAGCCAAGAGACGGGCGCCCGCATCAGCATCCCGCCGCCGAGCCTTCCAAAGGACGAGATCGTCATCACGGGGGAGAAGGAGGCCGTGGCGATGGCGCTCAACCGCATACGAGCCATCTACGATGACAAGGTGCGTTCACTGAAATGTTTGCAGTGAGCATCAAGCTCTTACATAATAAGCTGATCTTTGCAGTTTATTCGTCCCCCCCCCCGACCAAAAAAACAACAGCAGCCCTTCGTTGCAGTTAGTTTTGTGTGGACAGAATTGAACTCCATAAAGAAGAGGGCGCGCAGTGCATCTGACGGCTCGTGGTTAAGTCCTACTGCTCTGATGAAATCTTGGAAATTTGTGAGCAAATAAGAAAAATAAATACCGCACTTCCACCTCTCTTGAAATACCCATAACTCTCATAAGTCAACCTCTCTCTCTTTTTGGCCAGCATGCTTGCTGAGCTCTGGTATCGCGGCAGCACAGTGTGCACGGCAGCTCTTCTTTTTTTATGATGTCACTCCCTGCGGAGAAGATAGTTCCACTTAAATTAAATTATTGTGTCATCATATTGACCTCTTACTTTCCTAATGACAGACAATTTAAAACAATTGCCTTGAAATATGTCTTCAATTTGTTTTGATTTATAACATTTTTAAATAAATATTTTTCTAAATGTTCCCCCTTCTCCCCAGAAACGTCCAGATTAAACTCAGTGGCGGCCTGAGGGCTTTAAGTTTGAACCCCTGAGGCGGGGTGTGTTTGTTTACCAGATGAAGCAGGTGATAGGCGAGCCGGAGATAACGAGAGAAAATTGGATTTCCCCAGAGAACAACAGGATGAGAATGCTAATGTCTTGAGTAAATCTACGAGAGGCTGAAACACATTTTCTCTGTTGCTTTTGTGCTTTCCATCACTCTGCCAACTTTTCGACTTTCTTATTTCCTCATCCCCTGCTGTCGCTCACTTCTTCTTTTCCTCGAAATCGTGTCAGCTTTGATCCGCTCCTGTCTTCTATTCCTCCCTCTGTCACCTCCACTCACTCGTCTTTTCAAATCCCCCGCAGAAGAGGAAGACCACCACCATCTCCGTGGAGGTGAAGAAGTCTCAGCATAAGTACATCATCGGTCCCAAGGGAAACACCCTGCAGGAGATCCTGGAGACCACGGGGGTGTCTGTGGAGATGCCTCCTCTGGACTCCAGCTCAGAGACCATCATCCTCAGGGGGGAGCCTGACAAGCTGGGGCCGGCACTCACACAGGTTTACGCAAAGGTGAGGAGGAAAGTGGAAACTGGAAGTGCATGATGAGTAAGGGCTCTGCGTCTACCTTGTGTTTTTGTCACCAGCTTCTTTTTTCAGTCGTTCATAATGAGAAGAGAGCGTTTGCAGAGGCAGCAGTGGCAAAAGGCAGAGCGTCCCTTTTTCTGAGTGCTCTGCTTTTCTTTGTGCGGCTGCTCCGAGCACTTCTCGTTGAAAGTCTTTCAACTTATCAGAAGGGTGCTGTTGACGTCACCGGCGCTCATTTCAACCAGCCAATCATAGCCGATTGGTCAGGAATCTGCATATTTTTGACTCCTATCCTCTGTGCCTGATCGGAGCTGTGATATCCGGGCCGAGGGCAAGCATTCCTCCGTTTGATGCTCACAGTGTCGGAAAAAAAAAATCTCAAATATAAAACTTAGCAGTAAAAAAAAGCAATGTAGCAGCGTCAGACAGGTCAGACAGCAGCTGTTGTCAAGAGACTGTTGTCATAGAGACAGGATGCATGAGCAGCAGGTGCTACATCCAAGTGCTCCCGAGCACACAGACTGCTTTTCTGCCCGAAAAGGAAAAAAAATGCAAGGTGGACACAAGCTCTAAGGAGTGTGAGAGTCACGACAGAAACATCACCTCTTTTTGCAACATTCATTTCTTTGTTTTTGACAAACTCAAAACATTCGTACAGTCTGAACCTTCAATCACCTAAATTCTGAATGAAGTTTGGTTTAATTGTGAAATAAAGAAATCCACAAAGTAGAAGGAAACTGATGCACTTCAGCCACTCGGTGCTCTAAGAGAAGGACTTCAGACGTACAAAAAATGTAATTCAGTGGATACCTTCTTTCAGACAGGAACCAAAGAAAATACGGGAGCACACAAATATATATTAGGCTTTGAAAAATCCCAGGATGTGAAGCAATTATGAGAATAAGAATGATGACATCACAACAGGCAAAAATAACATATACACGCAGGCTAATTTGGCTTGCAGAGTGAAAAGGGTTAATACTTAAAATTTTAATTTCTTTTGACCCCTTGGGACAAGAGACCAAGCTGAAAACCTAACACTGACATATGTGGATTAAATGTAATGGAAGTTTGGCCTAAAAGTTGCCTGTTTATAAATCAAGCAGACACAGCGACCGTCGCATTCTTTGTCGTGTTTCAAGCTCATGAATGAAAACAATTATTGTAAGAAAGTGCTGCGTTGGTCGAGGGATGTATCCTTTTGTTGCCAAGTGCTCCTCTACATTCCCCTGCGCTTTGAAATACAACTGTAGGTGAGTCTGTCTTTTCATAAAACCTTTTTTTTTTTTACTCCGTGCAGGCTAAGAGTGTGATGGTGGTGGAGGTGACCGCTCCGGCCTGGCTGCATCGCTTCATCATCGGGAAGAAAGGGCAGAACATCGGACGGATCACACAGCAGCTTCCCCGGGTGAGAGGAGAGAGAGAGAGAGAGAAGAGTTTAATGAATACAACCAGAGATAAACTTCTTTGATTTCCATTTTTGATCCATTTTATTTGAGCTAACAGGAAAACCAGTTGTTGCAGAGTGTTTGATTTTATACTCCTTTAATGCTGTTGAAGTAGGAAAAGTGGCTGCAGGATTCCAGAGTTTACTTGTGACTTGCACTGAGATGTGATTTATTTTGAAACTAGCCGAGCGAGAGAGGCCATAACTCGATTGTTTCATGTGTCTGTGTGTGTGGGTGTGCGTCTAGGTTCACATCGAGTTCACGGACGGTGAGGAGCGCATCAGTCTGGAGGGGCCGACAGAGGAAGTGGAGCAGGCTCAGGCGCAGATACAAGAGATCATCAAGGACCTGGTGTGTACACAAACACACAAACACACACACAAGCCTGCATTTTGTTATGGATTTTTTACTTGCAGCCTTTAAATCCCTCCCTTTATTTTTCACTGAGACCTTTAAATATTTTGTAAGGTAAGAAAAGAAGAAAAGCCTGCACACTTAATCAAAGCCACAAAAGTAGAATAATCATAATTAAACCAGCGGTCTCTTAATAATGTTCTATCACCTGATGAAGGTCATTGGGTCATAATGTAGAGGTGAGGAACATTCAGTGACATATGTTAAAGATCTCTCTCTGCTTGTCTGTGTGCAGCTGGTGAGGATGGACTACACTGAAGTCATCATCGACCAGCGTTTCCACAGACACCTCATCGGAAAGAACGGAGCCAACAGTGAGTCACTCCGATCTGCTGAGCTCAGCAGGAAAAACACACTATCTCTGGTATTATAGCCACTATTTGGGGGCGCCGGCAGCTCAGTCTGTAGGGACTTCAGTTTGGAACTGGAGGGTCACCGGCTCAAGTCCCGGTGCGGACAAAAATATGGAAGTTGGTCTGGTTGCTGGAGAGGTGCCAGGTCACTTCCTGAGTAGATAAAAAGGAAAGATATTGAGTTGTATTTATGTTGTGTGTCTGTGATGATCCTGTTAGGACCCTGCTGGATTTAGTCACACTCACTGCTTGGTCTTAGAGAAAGCCTTGTTGAAGTCTTACACTTCAGCCATCTGCTTTATGTGAGCCTTGAAATGTGATCAGGGATTCACTAAAATGTAAATACAAGTGTATTTATTTATGAAGGCTGAAGTTAGAAACCTGTTAAAGTTCAAGCTTACAGAGCGGTTTGTGTGTTTTTTTTTTTATCCACAGCGTTCTGCCTTTAGAGCTGTGACAAATGTAAAAATGTTTGTAGTTCTATCGCTTCATCTGCCCTCTTTTTTTTGCTTTCCAGTTAATCGGATCAAGGAGCAGTACAAAGTTTCAGTACGAATCCCACAGGACGCTGAGCGGAGCGGTCTGGTCCGGATCGAGGGAGACCCTAAAGGAGTCCAGCTGGCACGCAGAGAGCTCATTGAGATGGTCCAGAGAATGGTGAGGAATTGGTCGATTCATTCCTGGAAAAAAAGAAAAAGAAAACCAGAGTGTTCACAGACTCTTAAAGTTGGTCACTTTTATTCCCATTGCTAGGAAAACGAGCGCACCAAAGACCTGATCGTAGAGCACAAGTTTCATCGGACAATCATCGGACAAAAAGGAGAAAAGATCAAAGAAGTCCGGGACAAGTTCCCAGAGGTAAAAGTCCTCCCTCTTACCCTTGCTGCACTTATCTCAGCTTTTCATTATTTTTAAAACAACAAGCTTTGAATCTGCCCTAAGGCAAATCAACAAGTGTCATCTCATTTCCTTTTAGGTTATTATCAATTTCCCCGACCCGGCACAGAAGAGTGACATCGTGCAGCTGAGAGGACCGAAGAACGAGGTGGAGAAATGTGCAAAGTTCCTCCAGAAGATCATCGCTGACCTGGTACGAGCCCATCTCTTAAAGGGATAGTCTTTTTTTTTAATAAGTGGGGTTGTATGAGGAGCCTGTCAATAGTAAGTGTTTGAGCCACAGGGGATGTGAGTCAGCTCGACACGGAGTACTGGCATCATTTAGCTCATTTTAAGAAAAAGTGACCTGACTTGATACTAGTGCTTGATATGTTTGTTCTTCCAGAAGTATCCCTTTAACAGCAGCTTTCCTTCTCTTGTAGATCGAGAACAGTTTCTCCCTCTCTGTTCCGATCTTCAAGCAGTTTCATAAAAACATCATTGGAAAAGGCGGCACCAACATCAAAAAGGTGAGACTGGTACATCCGTGTATCGGTCATTTTTTTTCTTTTTTTACACGTCATGTCGGGTAAAAGGAACAAAGTAACAACTGCTGTCAATGCCTTCAGATCCGTGAAGAGACCAACACTAAGATCGACCTGCCGACAGAGAACAGTAACTCTGAGATGATCGTCATCACAGGCAAGAAGAGCAACTGTGAAGCGGCTAAAGACCGAATCCTCGCCATCCAGAGAGAACTGGTGAGAGACAGGAAACCGTTTTTCTTTTATAGCAGCTTGCATCCTTTCTCGTTTGAATCTATCCTTTTACAAGTTACCCCGAAAAGAGGTCCACTTTCTTCTTTTTCTCTCTTGAGCTTTCAGTGTCTCACATTCTTCCTCATCAGTTTTAACAAACATCCGTCACTCAGACAAACAAACCGTGACAACACCCGTGACTCTTCGATAAGCAACCTCTGATACATCGTCATATCTCCACTCTCGACATCTAATTACGGCAACAACAAAAAAAAAGCCCCAAAGTTAAAATGGTAAACAGAAGCTGTAAAAAGCTAGTACACAAGTGAACCTCGAGTTAAGATTGATCTGTCAAATATCTGGTTTTAGGGTCCAGAAGTAACTGTGAAAAAACATAGAAGAAGTCTGTTTCCAGCCCAACCGAAAACAAGAACTTATAAAATTTGATATGCAGCATTAATTTAAGAAGTATTCAAGTTTAAGGTTGGGATATTGTTACTAGTATTTATTCATATATCCAGTAGGGGTTAGGCCAAAGACAAACTGTTGTTCTGTATCAGAGTATCTCCCTGTTTGTCCTTCAGGCCAACATTAAGGAGGCGGAGGTCACCATCTCCTCCAAGCTTCATAACTCCCTGATCGGCTCCAAGGGCTGTCTCGTGCGCTCCATCATGGAGGACTGCGGCGGCGTCCACATCCATTTCCCCTCCGAGGGATCCGGCTCGGACAAGGTCACCATCAGAGGTCCTGCTGGAGAGGTGGAGAAGGCCAAGAAACAACTGCTGCAGCTCGCCGAGGAGAAGGTGGGGAAAGAAAAGTCTCAATTTCTAAAAACTGGACTAAGGGAAATGTTTACATCAGTTTATTGTCTTTCACCTTTTCAGCAAGTCAACAACTTCACGGCTGAGCTCCAGGCCAAACCGGAGTACCATAAGTTCCTGATCGGCCGTGGCGGGGCAAATATTCGCCGCGTTCGGGACAAAACGGGGGCTCGCATCATTTTCCCGTCGCCGGATGACAACGAGCAGGAGCTGATCACCATCGTAGGGAAGGAGGAAGCTGTTCGTCAGGCGCAGAAGGAGCTGGAAAGTCTGGTTAAAAACCTGGTAAACATGCACAGTTTCTCTATCATGGTTTAGCTGCTCCATGTTTTTTTAATTCAATCCTATTTCTGCTGGTTTATCTTTTCTAACTTTCTTCATCTAACACAAATATAAGTTCCCCTTCTTGAAGTTTAAAAGCCTCTCTAAACCCTCAGTTTCATGTTCCTAAATTCTCATTCTGGACATCCTTATTCCTCGCTCTCCAGGACGACGTGGTGGAGGACAGCATGGTCGTGGACGTTCGCCACCACCGCCACTTCGTGTGTCGGAGAGGTCAGGTGCTGCGGGAGCTTGCCGAGGAGTACGGCGGTGTCGCTGTGAGCTTCCCTCGCACGGGGGCGAACAGCCAGCGGGTCACTCTGAAGGGAGCGAAGGACTGCGTGGACGCTGCCAAGAAACGCATCCAGGAGATCATTGAGGACCTGGTAAGACACGTTTACAGAGGAGAAGTCGGGAGTTATTTTTGCAGTAAGTTTTGCTCTTCCACAATAAGTTTGTTTGCGTCAAAGCCAAAGTAAAGAGTTCAGCCTAATTAATTTAAATGCCAACAGTTTCTGCATTTTACATATTAGTTGCCTGCCAGTGTTGTTCTGGCAGGCCGTCAACCAACGATCTCGAGGAGCCTAAGAGAGCTCAAGAGCTCCCAGGAAAGTAGGTGGTTAGTGACTGAGATTTACAGATAGATACATGCAGTAATATGATGTACTGTATGCACAGAGAGAGGAGCTCAAGGTGCCAGTTCCCCTGGTAGTCTAAACCTATAGCAGCATAACTAGGAGCTGGTCTACACCAGCACCAGCCCTAACTATAAGATTTATCAAAAAGTCTATTCTTAAAAAAATACAGACTGTGTCTGCCTCCTGGACCCCGGCTGGAAGACGATTCCAGAGGAGAGGAGCCTGATAACTGAAGGTCTTACCTCCCATAGTACACTTAGAGACTGTAGGTACCACTAGCAGGCCTGCATTCTGGGACCGTAATGTAAGAAGGATCTTGAATTCTATTCTAGATTGTATAGGGAGCCAGTGCAGAGAAGCCAACACAGGAGTAATGTGGTCCCTTTTCCTAGTTCTGGTCAGTACACGAGCTGCAGCGTTATGGACTAGTTGAAGAGTCTTTAGAGACTTACCAGAGCACCCTGACAAAAGACAAAGAAGACTTGACATCCAGTGATAGGGTGATGAAGTCATCCTTTCTGGTTTGTTGTGTGTTTGCTATCCATGCTGTTGTTACCCAGCTGTCCTCTCTCTCTCTCTCTCGCAGGAGTCCCAGGTGAGCATGGAGGTGGCGATCCCTCAGCGCTTCCACCGTGCCATCATGGGGCCTAAAGGCTTTCGCATCCAGCACATCACCCGGGAGCACGAGGTCCAGATCAAGTTCCCTGAGAGGGAGGACAGCACTGCAGGTCAGAAACAAAACACACAAGAAAAACAATTTTTTCTTTTTTTTTACATCAGTTGTCTGTCCAACATGGTGCCTAATGGGAAAAAAGAATATTGTCCTTGTTTTAATTCAAACCTGCAGACGGAGGAGTTGCTTTTCAGTCCATTCATCTGTGCTCATATTACAGGTCAGGAGGCTCCGTCACAGGAAAACGGTGAGGTCAGTCCAGAGGCCGAGTTCATCCCCCGCAAATGTGACATCATCACCATCTCTGGGCGTGCAGAGAAATGTGAACTGGCTAAAGCCGCCCTGCTGGTAGGCAACATTTCACGTCATTCACAGACAGGGTACGGTCTTCTTTTTTTTAATCTAATGATATGTTCCTCCTTCAGGCACTGGTGCCGATAACGGAGGATGTGGAAGTGTCCTATGAGCTGCATCGCTACATCATTGGACAGAAGGGCAGCGGGATCAGGAAGATGATGGAGGAGTATGAGGTTAGCTCTCTGCTGTCATCTTCTGGCCAAGAGACCTCTTTATAATAAGAAATACTGCACTAAGTATGCCTTGTTGTTGTGATGCATTTGATTGGAACTATAAAAGAAACAAAGGAGAGTGTAAGCTTTTAGATTTTTTTTGAATATTAGGGGAAATTAGTAATAATAAAAAGGGGGAGCTGTAATTCATTGTTTGTGGGATGTGCAGGTGAACATCTGGGTGCCACAGCCAGAGAAGCAGCTGGACGTGATCAAGGTGACGGGCCTGGTAGCTAATGTGGAGCGAGCGAAGCAGGGTCTGCTGGAGAGGGTGAAGGAACTTCAGGCTGAGCAGGAGGACAGGGTACACAGTTTGACATTTGATTCCTTATTTTTTAGTTGAATTAAATTTTCCCGTTGAAGGGGAACTACACAAGCTGCTAATTCTTCTACAAACAAACATCTACCAGTTGTTACATGATAGGTTTTTTGGTGATTGGGATATGGGCTCATTGTTTAGATCATGGAGGGTTTGAGGTCCCTGCTGGTTGCCTCTGTTTCAGGCTCTGAGAAGCTTCAAGGTCACAATGTCTGTAGATCCAAAGTTTCATCCCAAGATCATCGGCCGCAAGGGAGCAGTCATCTCTCAGATCAGGAAGGACCACGACGTCAGCATCCAGTTCCCTGACAAAGGAGACGAGCAGCAGGTGAGCCTTATTGGCCTCCATTAGACTTTTGTAAAGATTTCATTGTATTTCACATGTAACCAACTTTATTTCAAGCTCATAAACATTCCTTCTTCCTTTTTCTTTTTAAAATTGGTTCTTCTTTTTGGTTCTGTGCTTCATTAACTATAAATGTCCCCTCTCCCAGGATCTGATCGTGATCTCGGGGTATGAGCGTAACGTGGAGGAGGCGCGTCAGGCCATCCAACAGCTGGTAGCCGAGCTGCAGGAGATGGTGAGCCAAGACGTTCACCTGGACCCGAGGACGCACGCCCGCATCATCGGAGCCCGAGGAAAAGCTATCCGCAAGCTGATGGAGGAGTTCAAGGTAAAGATGATTTGAGCTAACATTAACTTCTTCAGCGTCTTTATCTACCTGTTGTTTTTCATTCCACTTCTCCTGTTGTTGATTTGTTCAGGTGGATATCCGGTTCCCTCAGCCCGGCTCCGATGAGCCCGACAAAGTGACGGTTACAGGTCTTCCAGAGACTGTCGACAACGCGATTGACCACCTACTCAACCTGGAGGAGGAATACGTGAGTTCACAAGAAAGTCTTTATCGTACATAAAGTCTTTGATAGGAAGACATTCAAAGAAAGACCACTCCGGGAAAAATGGAAAAATCCAACATTAAAGATAGTTTCCTAGAAAAATTATTATAAACTTATACAAAAGTAATGCAGCTCAATCATCCACCAGGGGCCTCCATACATGTGTAGTGTTGACTGTGTCTGTCCTCTGAGTGTATTTTGATATTTCATTTTGGTTGACTCGGCATGTTTCTGGTGGGGGGGGAGAAGGTGTTGTTTCCCCCAGCCAATGACACGCGTAGAGAGTGAGTTTAGGAGTGAAAACAATTCAAAACAGCAAATATGGCTGCAGCAGACGTAGCTGCAAAAAAATAAAAACACCACAGGGATAAAGCACGTTCCAAAATGAGGGTGAACCTTGTGTTGGCAGACAGAGAAATGTCTGAGTGACATCAGGAGAGAACAATAAGTTGATTATGTTTCTTCTCCACCTCTCTCAGATGCTCAGTGTGACGGAGACGGAGACCTTGGCGGCATACATGAAGCCTCCGTCTCGATACGGAGGAGGAGGCGGAGCTGGAGGACTGGATGATAGCAGCGGGGGTCCAGCGAAGGGCTTTGTGGTTCGAGACGCGCCCTGGAACGCGTCAGGGAACAAGGTCTGACGTGCTGATTCTTACCTTTTTTCTTTTGCTAGTCAAACAGTAACTTTTAACCTTCATCAGGGAGAATATGAAAACATCTGTATCTGTTCATGTCCTAGGCTCCTGACATGAGCAGCGCTGAGGATTTCCCAACCTTCGGGACAGGCGTGGCGCCGAAGCAAGCGTCCGCCTGGGGTCCCAAAAAATTCTGAAGCTGCTCTTCTGAAGGAAAAAAAAAAAAAAAAAACTTCTGTAAAGTAGATGACGAGAGATGAAACAAATCTCTTAATCAAATTGCTGCTCGCCTTCCTCCCTCCTCCTCTTCTTGTTAGTGACCTTCCCTCACCTCTCCCTGTAAACCCCTTTGTACCGTCCTCCCAAAACCAGCCGCAATGAATTCTGGGAGAAGAATCCCTTTTTTTTTTTTTGTCTCTTCTGTTTTACCTCCTAGTCCCTCCTCCTCAATTTCGGAGAGAAAAAAAAAAAGAACATTTGAATGCTGTCTTTATAGTTCTGCTGTCCCGCTCTGCCTCTTTTTTGCACCGACACTTGCTGGTGGTCTCGATGACATTTTTTAAAATCTGTCTCCCATTTTTCACCATTGACTGCTAAACTCTCCACAAAACAATCAAACTACCACCTCACTTGCAATACATAAGAAATAAGATTGTTATACAAGTCGTAAAGGAGGGAGTGTACAAGCTACGATGGATGGAGTGTGTATTTTTAAAAACAGAAAATGAGGGAGTTTTAATGTGAAAGAAGAGTTTTTAAACATTTCATCTTTTAATGTTCTGTCCCTGTGGTTTTTACATGGAGGTTTCTTATTGGCTCATCTTTCGGGTCAACAATGTGGGGCAGCAGATGAGGCAATGAGCTGTGTGTGTGTGTGTGTGTGTGTGTGAGAGAGTGAGAGAGTGTGTTTGTGGGTTCAGGAGAGGTTTTTCACCCACAATTGTCTGTAACCCCTCTTCCCCCTTCTTCAAATTTTGTTTGGAGCTGGGAGCTAAAAACAGCTGCTGTATTCGACTATCTGGACATTCTTTTTTTATTGTAATGAAGCAAAAGACGTGGAAGTTAGTTTGTAAAGAAGGTTGTTTAACTATTTATTTTGAAAAGGAGCCATTTTCTTTGAACTACTGTGACCATGCATTTTTATAAAAGCACCCACTGTAGCTTGATGCTTTAGTTTGGGAGTGAATGCTGTTTGTCGGGGTTTGGGAACATGTCAACAGTTGTTATGTGTAAGTGTACAAAGAACTTTTCGCTATTTTTTTAAAACTGTGTCAGATTCTTTTTTTGTTGTTGTTGGTTTCAGGCATATTTGGAAGATTGTGTGTGTGTGTGTGTGTGCGCGCGTGCAGAAGTTAAGCTGTATATTTGAATGAAGCTGAACCAAACTTTGACACCGCCTTTGTCCATTTGTCTCTCAAGAGCTCATTCAGAGGGTTTTTTTTCCCTCTCAGCCTGATGTAACATTCAATTTTTTTTCTGTCAACAATCACACACTGCTGCTTAAAGTTTGACCTCCCGTCCAAAAAAACATACTCGGTATCAAGTGCTGCACTTTGGGTTTTTTTCTGGTACAAGTGTTCAATGTGTATTTAGTAATATTTTGTAGCAAAGGCCTATTTATTAATTTTCGCAGTTCTGACTTTTTCTTTTCTTTTTTTTTAGATTTATTGTTTGGGCTTTTATGCCTTTCTGAAGTAGATAGGAGAGTGGACAGAGTAGTAGACCTTGGGGAGAGAGAGAGTGAGGAATGAAGTGGAAAAGGGACCAAGGGTAGGAATAAAACATGCCGCCTGCTTTGAGGACTTCAACCTCTGTAGATTGGATGCACGACCTAACCGCTAATCCAACCAGCGCTGCCCCAGTTCTGGGACTAAAAGCCTCATGAGTCCGGTTGATAAACTGTACATCTAGATTTCAGTCATTTTAATTAAAGCTTCCTCGTGCCTGGATTCTTTAAGAAAATGTTTCATGGGGATTAAAAGCACTATTTTATTTGTAAAAGAAATGTTGATCACTTTTTAGTCTGTACGTTTTAGCAATGGGCTGGAGTCAGGAGGTAATTGGCTCATCTTAACTTAAAGATTGGAAACCTGTCTTGACCTACTGATCTCTATTTACGATTATCCATAAAACTGAAAGACTGGATCTGTAGGTGCAAGTCTCGCATTTAGGTATCAGAAATGTCCTGCTTGTAGTACGAGTAGCTTTTCAGCCGGTTTGAACTGTATGTAGAAAACATGATCCACCTCAATGCATACCAGAACCCATCTGCAGTCATATTATGATTGCGCTTTAAATAGTTATTTTTTTAACAAGTTGCTTTTTGAATTGTAAAGAAAAGCTAAGCGTTGGCTAGCTACACCAGATGCCCCAAAAAGTTAGCCAGTGCTTTTAGAAGCTATTTCATGTTTCTGAGATAGATACCTATTCAACTTTCATAATAATAATTTACTAGGATTTAGCTACATGCTGCAACTATTACATCGACTTGTATGACTAACCCTTGTGAAAATGAGGTTGACAATCCACCAACATTGGATGCTGCATTGAAGAGCTAGGCTTGGCTATAGCTAACCATCAACAACAAATGATCTTCTTATGATTTTCATGTACAGATAAAACAAACAAGCTCCTCAAAAAGCTCATGTGTGAGCTTCAGGGTTGCCATTGGATGTATTTCTAAATTCAAACAAAGCTAAGCTAGCTGTTTCACTTGCCACATTCACATAACTTTAGCACTCTATACTTTATTTAGCCACATATCTGTTTCTGGTTTTAAGCTAACCACCTCCTGACTCAGAGCTCTGTACAGACAATATCTCTGAGAGAAGAAATGTTTCTCAAACTGTTAAAATAAGGACTCAAGGACGAGCTTGGGACTAGATTGACAGCTCTAAATAAAAGGGGAGATTCAAATAAAACTCAGGGTCAAATTCAAAAAATCCAAACTGGTGCGAAATTACTCTTTTAGAGGTGCCGACAGATTAGAAAACCAAACCAACTATGCAACCCAACAGCAGATCTGTCACTTGTAATTAATGTATTTGAACTAGTCTCATGAGTTTGTGAGAAAGAAAAACTAGTAGGTTGTCAATTTTTTTTAGTTGTTGAACCTTTGGCTAGTTGTGTGTCTTGTGCTGTTTCAGTGTGTGTCTGTATTTTCATGGCAGGAAAGAGCTGCCCTCGAAGCAGCCACCATTTCTGTAAAAGCTATGAAAACGACTCACTATTGGCCTTAATGAGTAATTAGTCTACAGCATTTTGAAAAAAAGGTGTGATTGACTGAGTTTGCAACACTGCAATAACATGTCAGTGACCAGACGTTTTTCCTACTCTAAATAAAACTGGAAAAAGAAAGGAACCAAAAGCAACAGTAGAATTTGTCTTCTTCTTCATGGCACTTCTTTTTTTACAGCCCACATCACCCTAAAAACCCACCATGTATCCATCCTTCTGTGCATACTGTCTGTCAATTTATTTTCATTTTTTATAAATCAGGAAGATATGATTTGTTATGTAACAGCCTGTACAACGCAACATACAGAACAAAAAAAAAAAGAAAATGATACAAATTAAATTGTACAAAGCAGCAAAGGGCCGTAAAACAACCCATAAAATATTTTTTCACATTTTTGATTGGAAGTTTTTCCTCTGCCAGACCCCGAAGATCTTCGATCAGTCAGATCACAGCTGCTCGTAGAAGGTGACTAAGCTTCTTTTATATTCATTTTTTTGAGTTTGACTCGTCAAAACTGTGCCTTTAGGATGTCTCATGGGCTTTCTTGTTCTTTAGCAGGATAAACTGATTGGCAACAGGACTGAGAACACTGTAAAAGAAAAACACTTTGGAAAGCTGTTCATATACAATCAACATCAGGTGGATGTTTGGGATTAAATAAAACCCTTGTAAAAAAAAAAAAAAAAAAAACATCTGTCAAATGTAAATCAATGATGTTAGTTGAAATTAAAGAACTGCAGAGCCCTCATTAATAACATTCAAAAATGTAAACACCAACATGGGGCATGGGACTGCAGATCTCTGGAGGTCCAACAAGGTCAACAGAGTCAGACGTGAAGGATGGATTGATCAGATTGGAGGTGTGAGTGGTTCAACAGTTAACGATATTGTGGCAGCAAGACAGCAGGAGTCATGCGGATAACCCCTGAAACATTTGGCTACAGTCCATTTTACCACCTTCAAAAATCTTTGTGAGAGTTTACTAGACTAGAAATAAGATGATGCTACAGCCAGGGCCCTGTTCAAAAATAACCTGGTTGGATCTTGAAAACCGGTTGTTCAATATAGAAAAACAGAGAGAAAAAAAAAGGAAACAAAGAAAATGTAATGAGATCAGGTGATCTTTGTTTCCTATCCTTATGAAACCTCAAGTTTGTGTAGTTTTGATTAAAAACAAACAGGATTATCTGGATCGAAGCAGAGGTCTGGATTCACACTGGATTACAGGGACAAAATGTCACATCTTTTGATATATCAGCTGATATTTTTAGTAAGTAAAAACAACATTTTTACCATTATGTTGATATTTCCCACATCTTTTTTTAAAAATATTTTGCTCTTGAATTTCTACCATGACTTCAGAGGTTGGGGAAAAAAAAGGAGAAACAGGGAGTGTGTCCCCTAAAATATCTCACCAGATGCCTCTCAATATCAAGCATAACAATACTGAATTAAAGCAGATCTTTCAGGTGTTGTGGATTTGTGCATCCGATTAGTCCCGTTTAGAGCACTGGTAGTCCAGATTTGTTAATATTTTAAATTCTGCTTCTTGTTATCCTATCTGTTTTTTTTCCTTTGGACAAACGTATACTGGATAGCAAAACAGTGAATTTCCCAATCCAGTTAATTCTTATCCAGAATAAAACTTTTTAGCAACCAAGCAAATGAGACTGATAGTTTAGGGGTAACCATAGGCTACAAAGGGGGTTAACATCCCAGCCGAACACCAGCTCTAAAGTACGAGGCCCATGAAGTCGAAGATGTTACCGTAACTTGTGCGCACAAGTTATTTTCTTCAGGGGCTCCACACTAAAGGGCAATATAATATAATTAATAATAATATATATATTTTATAAAACGGGAGATTACTTCCTTTAACGAGACTTGCTTTGTTGCCAGGCAACTGCAGTAATGTATCCATCTGTAACCGATCATGACCTCATTTTAAACGGCGAAATGACGTTTTTTTTTATACAGCGTGTTACCCTGAGTTTACAGAGTTTGTGATAGAGGACTTCGTTACCTATTATAGAGTCCTGCTGCCTGTTTCTCCTTTTATCCCCCAGTCTGTGTGCTAAGCTTAGTTAGCATGCTGCTTCTAGCTGTAGCGTCATTTACTATACATTAATGGCATCGATATTCTGGTCTAGCTAGCCCTCGACTGGAAGCTAATTTAGCATGTCACACATTTTAGCACTTCTCCTTTTTCTCCTTTGCCTGTATCAAAACCGGCTGGTACATAATACGTCATTCATTATCTCCCAACAAAGTTTTAGCTTAAAGGATGTCTTCAGCAGTCAACCTTTCTGTTAATTCTTCCAGTTTTACTCCACAGTGTAAAGTCTGTGAATCATTTCCATTTGACAGGACGAGACAAAAATGATGCTGGGCCAAAAAACAGAAACACAAACAGGTCTGGGAAAGTAGCGAGACTGCTAGCGTGGAGACACATAGAGGACAGCAACATACAGCGGTACATATGTGTAAACATTTTTTTTCTTCCTCCAGTTTTAAAATATTCCCCTCCTGAAGAAGTCACAATCACAAAGACACTCTTGGGTTCATTCTCAGACTCAAATGTCTTTCTGTTTCTATTTAAATATTTCCGAAAACATTGTCACTCTTTCTTTTTTTTTGATCCACGTTTCAGTCTTTTTTTTTTTAGGTGACGAATGTTTGACGTGCAGGTTGGCAGGGGACAGCTCCTCCCAAAATTTAACACTGACCAGAGAAAAAGGTGAGAAGTGTCGAAGTAAGCGCCACAAGATTAGGGGGCAAGATAAGAAAGCCTGTGAGGGTGAGAAAAAAAAACAAAAAAAACCTCGGGAAGAATGAGAACCAAAAAAATGGCAACAAGGAAAAAAAAAAATCAAAAAATTTCAAAGTCAAAAAAAACAAAAACAAAATAGTAAATGTAGCGAATGTCTCACACATCATGTCGATGTGAAGTAAGTTTAAAAATCGCCCACGAATGTCCAAAACATAAAGTGCAGGCAGTGTCTGTTCTTCTTTGAAACCGCCGTATCCCCCGGCCTCTAAAATAGTCCAAGAGCAAACAACCGAAAATAAACAAAACAAATCGATAATGCTGAATTGTCAACAATCCACAGCAGGAACAGCTGTATTCCAAAGGAGTCTCTAGCTCAAGGCAGGGGTTGGATTTGGTTGTCAGTTTTATTAAAAGTACAAGGAGTACCTACACGGATCCTCCTCACTTCCACCCGAATGCCTCTCCCTCACCGCCCTGTTCACTCGACCCGGATGAGCAGTCCGTAGAGGAGCGTGCCGCCCTCCTCCTTCGTGATCCACTCGATCTCTGAGTTGCTGAAGAGGATCCAGAGGCTCGCTGTTGCCAAGCGTCTGGGGTCCCACCTTGTAGGAGCCGGGACGCACACACACCTGGAATCCTACCTGGGCCTGGTGGCAGCGGTGAGAACGGGGGTCCTGAAATCTGCAGCAGGGGGAAAAAGAACTCTAAGTAAGTATGTTCCACCTTTAGTTCAGGTTATTTGCTTGTGCTACAAAAAAAAAAAAAAAAAAAAAATAAAAAAGAGTCAAACTTACTGCACTTTAGGGGCAAAGATCTCCATGCCGGAGTAGCGCATGGTGGGGGAGAGCCGCACTCTAGGAACCTCCCTGCCAGGGGCGCTGTTCTCTTCAGGCTCACTGTAGCCATTGGGTCCCTCCGCTTTGGCTGGGGACACTGAGAAGATGGACGACGTTCCTGCGACAGCAAAAATCCCATTAACAGTTAAGAGATGTTTTGCTGATGCTTCTACTTTAAGAAGTAATTCAAAAGTCAGTGGTTACAGTCTCTCACAAATGTAGAATGAGCTCCGCAGTGAGAATTATGTCTCCAAGACAACAAGTTTTCTAGACAGCTTAGGTTTTTATGTTTCTGAGATGAACCTCAGTGGTACAGAGTATGAATCTTGGTTAAAAAAAAAAAAAAAAAAGGTTTTTCATACCGGCCAGCAGCTGGCTGTGGTCGAGCGTGCGTCGCAGGGCTCCTACACTGGTGCCGTGGTAAGCTATATGCCATTTCTTCAGTGCATTGGCAACCTCACAGTGGGGCTTGATCCTGCACAAAAGATGAGCGATCAACAGGATGAAATAAAAGAGGTACGCACCCCTTTTTTCATATTCACCACAGAGCTGAGTGAATTTAATGCTGTGGTACCTCTATGGTTCAATACCTCACAGCTCTATCATTCATCTCACCTGAGGGCGAAGCGGCACCAGCCAAAGGGCAAGGCGTAGTCCCGGGGCGGCTCTCCTCTCTTATAATAAGCCTCGTCACCCCGGAGCTTGTGGCAGGACTCACAGTAGCACAGGTTGTACTTAGCATCTTCGTTAAAATACCCATCTTATGGACGGCGGGGGAGGAAAACAAAGATCATTGTTAAGACAGCTGGGACATGATTTTTGGGATTGGAGGCAGAGATTGTGGCAGAAAAGCCTTCGGCAAGACTCACCTGGTAGCGTGAGCAGGTCTTTGAAGCGTGAGCACAGAGCCTGGTACTCACAGGTCTTGTTGGGGTTGACCTCTGGAGGGGGCGTCCAGCACACACTCTCTTTGATTCCTTCAGAAAAAAGTTGTTTAAAAAAAAAAATCAAGGCTTAAATAGAATTCTTTATGAAACGTTTTACAACAAGCAGCCATTTTCTACTAACCGTCAACCATGTCCGCCTTCTCCATGTCGCCCTGACATCGTGGTTCACCAATTTCTCCCCCCGCAGCTGGCACATTGTTCGTAACTATAGTAACCTGCCATTAAAAAAAAAAAAAAAAAACTCAACCATGAGCAGAATATCATCAACAGATTTGATCGAAGGTGATGACACGCTGAAGGAAGATCTTTGACTTGTGGAATAATGATTGATACTAAATAAGAATTTAAAGATGTCACTTAGGATTCTACTAAATTGTAGTGGACTGTACTTCAGTATTTTCTGACATCTTAAACACTGAACCATCCAACACGTAACTTCAATAAGGTTTATAAAGAATCTTACTCTCCTGTTTGTCTTCTTCTGGGATCATACTGATAATTAACTCATTAACAAATGTCACAATAAGAAGACCATCCAAATAAGTAATACGGTTCTTAAGAACTCAGCGTACTGTGTGCGTGTCAGTAGTACTGACCTGTTCACACTGGCCGTAGAGATCTATGAAGGGGTAGCAGGGTGAAGGGATGTCCTGCGCTGCCACACCCTGGTCCATGCCATTGACGTAAAGGTGAAGACAGCTGTTGGCATCCACCAGCAGACCCAACAACGTCCCTTCAGGACAAGTGTCCAGATTAGGACCGTAGTTCTCACATATCTGCAGAGGAAGACAGACGGGGTGGGTGGGGGGATTAGCATAGAGGAATGAAAGTGAATTTTTCCTGTATGATGTACAAAAGGTCCTTCATGGGTTAGCATCACCTCCACAAAATGATTACCGTACACCAAACAGAAGGCCATTGGTGACTTTTCACCTAGAACCCTTAGAGCCACCGTTAGAGGCGACTGCCCCTTAGACGATCCACTTTCTGTTGTTCAGAGGTAGCACATTGGGGAACGCTCCAGCTTTGCAGCTTTCAAGGGGTCGTTTTAAGGTGTGGCTCAGAACAAACCCAAATGTCTAACTACCATAGTGCATGAATGCATACTTCTATATATTCAACTGCAGTGCCTTATCCTATACACTTTTGTATATACTAACCATGTGTATATATGAGACATTTGTGCAATAGGGTTTGGTGCAATTACACCAGAACGTTCCTATGATGTGCAATACAATACGGGGGACTACAGATTATTGCTATAATCTGGCATATTTACATGTTTATGTTCATTAATGTTCACTGTCCCTATTTTAAACAAACAAGCAAACAAAAGAGTCAGTGACGACTGAGAACATGCTCACAAATTTTCTAATTTAATATCGTCACATATTTGAAAAAAAAATATCAATGGACATCTCCAACGTGATGGTGTCTGGATTTGTTTTTGTACCTTTAGAGAGTTGTGGAAGACCGAGTCTCTCTGCAGCAGCCAGGCGGAGCGTTTCAGACAACACGCTGTGGAGGGGAAGTTGAGCCGGTCGGGCGAGTGGCCGATCACTCCTAACGACAGCGACGACGTCCATGACAAGTTCAGACGGTCGATCTGAAACTGATGCCAAAGAGAGGCTGTTGACAGTTCTGCAAGCTGTCACAACTGAAATACTCTGAGGTGTGATTAAGGAGTTTTCATTTAGCATATATCATGTATGAATCTCCCCTCGAGGTATCAAAAAAAAGGATGTCTTCTTGTCATTATCTGAAGACTACTGATTCCTTCTTTCACACACAGCCTCAACTTCCAAATACAGTCACCATAAATGTTACCTGGAAAAGCTGCTGGCGAGCGAGGGGATGGGCGGTGACCAGCAGGCCCTGGTTGTAGCTTGACACTCTGGCTGCTGTCAGGTTCTGGTTGGACAGTTGGATGTTTTTGCCATGGTTTTCCAGGAACGCCATGACAGTTGGTACAAGCGCACACGGCTCAGTCTCAACCTGGAGCGGTGGTGACACGAAGAGCTTGAGACCCGGACTCTCTAAAGTCAAGGCGCTCTCCTGGTTTTGGATTCCTACCTCTCTGACAGGGGTGCTGTCCTCCTCTCCTTCACTGCAGCTGTCTGAGGAGAGCGAGGGGGCCTTGACGCTGTCCATGTCCTCCATTAAAGATGAGCTCACTATGGACACTGCTGTTATCCGCCCATATAGGTCCAAAACTGCAAACACGTTCTGCAAGGAGGCAGAGGGAGGTGCTTAGTGGACGTACGTAGCAGTTATCTGTGTTAACTGTGAGTGTGAGTGTGTGTGTGTGTGTGTGTGTACCTTGGATACTGCAGTGGCTGCAGGTCCCATGTCTTCTCCATCAATGAAGATGTGCATTGTGTCGTCACTGCATCTCTTTACCCCCACACGGTTCCCAACCTAAAAATCACATACATTTAAGATGAATCAGTAACGAACTATTTAAGTGCACTCTTTCTCCAGTCAGCTTTGGAATATGACATTTTATATCTAACAGGTATCTGTCAAGTGACAACGCAGCAGGGGGGAGGGTGCAGCTCACCGTCAGCCGGTCCAGTGAGCAGCAGTAGTTCTGCCGCTGCAGCACACCGTTGCGACGGACTTCTGAGCCGCAGAGCAGCCAGGTGACCTTGGTGCGAAGCTGCGGGAGGGAGGGGGAGAGACCTGACAGTGGGCAGGACGGCAGCTCTGGGGGGGACAGCGTGGTCAGACCGATGTGCAGCGAACCACACCACTGCTCATCCACCTCATCGATCCTCAACTGCAGAGGAAAGAGAGAGAGACAGACAGAGAGAGAGAGAGATTAGGGAGGGACATTTTAAAAAAGTACAAGCTACAGAGGAGAAACATACACCATGGGCCTGATCCACTAAAGGATTGCGCTGCATTTGTGGCCACTAAACCTGTGAAATTGGGAGAAAGGGATAGCGTGCAATCCACAAAGCGCACACACAAAAAGGGTGAAATACACACAAACTGCACTGCCAAGCACATACTGTCCTGATTGCGCCTGTTCCATTTGTATCTATGTAAATTAGGGAATATTCAGAAACTGGAAAATCGCCCCCTTCTTGTGCAAAAAGGACTACCATCCAATTCACAGAGATAAGCGCTAATGCACAAACAACGGGAGCAAATGATGCACAATTTTTGGAGCTGCTATTCTCGGTGAATCTTGCCCCCCTGTCGTTTTAATGACACCCAGATATCACTACAGAGGAGGCAATACTTATTTGCATAATTATTCAAATTCTTTTAAAAAAGCTAGGTTAAATAGATAAAAGCCAATGTTTTTACCTCGAACAGTTCGTCTGCTTTGAGTTCCCTCGCGCTGAACACGATGCCGTGAGCGTAACCTCCGACTCTGACCGCCTGGCAGCCCTCACCGAGCAGGATCACGTTCTTACCGTGTTTACTGTGGAGGCGATGGGCAACACCTGCTACTACACACACACACACACACACACACACACACACACACACACAAAGACACAAACACACACACACACACAAAGACACAAACACACACACACACACAAAGACACAAACACACACACACACACAAAGAGGAAATCGAGCATAAGAAAAATTGGCATGTGATTTTTAAATTTGACTCCATATCCACTTTCATTTGTATATTCATTTAAAAACACTTATATGACATTTATTGTAAAAATCTAATGTTTCACGATTCATTAAAGCAATGAGAGCACATTTTAAACAAATATTCTATCCACTTATTACTGTATAACAAAGTCATGTATGATTTGAGTTTGCAGACCTGAGCGGGGACCCTGGTGTGTACCTGGAGAATGGATGGGGAAGCTCTTCTCAGTGACGTTGCTGGTACAGAGACTGTTGTCCAGCGGGCCTGAGGAGCTGGTGATAGACACCTGAACACACTGACCGTACAAGTCTATCACAGCAAACACCTCTGAGAGAGAGAGAGAGAGGGAGAGATTAATGAAATACGATCTCTCTCTTAGCATGAGCAGAGTTTCAGACTTCACATTTGTGACTTTGGTTGACTCCTTCGTTACCTGGTGGCAGACCGGTGCAGGCAACGCCTTGGTCTATGCCATTGATGTAATAGTGGAGGTCGCCAGTGGCCGAGCGCATCATGCCGATCCGTGAAGCGGTGGTTAAGGAGTCCAGGTCACAGCCGTAGTTGTTGCGCATTGTGTTGCCATCCTGCATGATGGCTGTTCCACTGTAAGAACAGGACGAAGGCAAAAAGAAGAATCTATTTTTAGCTCTTAGAAGCGCCTTCATATTCAAGATGTAGAAAGAGCGACCTCATGACCACCACTCGACAAAATCTACTTCAAAGTTCCACAGACGTGTTGGGATTCTTCATTTAAAGACTCATTATGAAAAGAATTGAGACTCTTACACTGAGTATTACAGAGCATAGTGAACAGAGGGAACTAAGCAGCAAACCAGGCTAACAAACAAGCCTTTAAGTCTTTTCTTGTACCTGAGCATCCACGTGTCGTAGTCGATGTCGGTCATAGTGTTGGGAAACTCGAGCTCCTCTGGCCTGATTGCTGTCACTCCTGGACAAAGTGAAAATCAATAGTCATGTCAGGTGAAATATGTTTCATACGCAGCAGGAAAGATAAATGTAGACACATCAGAAACAGCCCACCTGCTTCTATTGAACCCGACCAGCGGTCCACCATCTTCTGGATGATGATTTCAAACAGCTCTCCGTCTCGTAGGAACCTGCAGGGAAGTGACTTAGTTATTGAACTATAATGATCCAGAAGTCAACGTTCACTGAACACCAGATCAAGTCGACTTTTCTTAAGATCACCTGCTGGAAATGACGATCGCGTCGTTGAACTCGCTGCGGCAGTTCTGACGCAGGGCGGTGCGCCCCCCGTTGGTAATGACGGCGTTGGTGCCGTGTAGCTGGTGGAAACGCAGGTCGTTGGTTGTGCTGGCCCCGCCCACTGAGCAGGGACTCCCAGGGGACATGGCTGTGGGTCCGTCTGAGCTGTCCTCAGGGAGAGGAGGGAGGTCGACTGAGAAGAAGAAGAATATTTAGAGGCTTACATCTTATTCTGGTTCCTCATGAATTGATCCGTGTTTCTCTCCCTTACCCATGTCATCCATGATGGTGGCCTGAGCAGCCTGGCCGTAAAGATCGACCACGGCGTACACGCTGGGAGGAACATTCCAGGCAGCGGGGCCCTGAGCCACACCGTTCACGAAGAAGTGGAGGCTGCCATCTTCTTTCCGAACTACGCCTACAGTGTCACCGGCCTGCATGAGGGGGGGGGGGGAAGTGTCAGAAATAACTGCGTGTGAAAAAGGTGAGAAGCATTATGGGAGGAAGAAGAGGTCAGAGGACTTTGGATGATGGAGAGCGTCTGTCAGCTTAGAGACAGAAAAAGAAGGAATATCCCTCACTTTAAGCCGGTCCAGGTTGTGTCCGTACTCGTCCAGTATTGTAGTTCCATTGTGCATGACACCATTTCCCGTCATCATCCAAGTCCCTGCAAGACAGACAATCATCAACTTCTTAACCGATATCTCAGAAAGAAGTCCGCACTATCATGAGGCAGGTTTTTTTTTTTTTTTTTTTACCAGAGCGCAGGTTGGTCATGGTGGAGGGCAGCTGCAGGTATGCAGGGTTGTGCGTTGTGACGCCGATTTCGATGGAACCCGCCCACTTGTCCACCATCTTGTCAATGCGAACCTGGAACACCTCGTTGGAGCGCAGCGGTCGGCTGCTCAGGACGACGCCATGGTTGAAGTCATCAGTGGCGCTGTGGAAAAAAACAGTGACGTTAACTTAAACCTTAGGAAGGTTGTAGATTCAAGTGCTGCCTGAACAAGGATGTCTTCTCTTTTATGCAAACAGACACATTTATCCGCGCAAACGAACCACAAGAATTTCACAAATATCAAAACAGTGAAGTGGATATACATATATACTGTACTTACACCTTTGTACAAAGTATGATAAGAAAGGCTCCTGATGTAAATTAATTGTATTCAAAATTTAAATATTTAGTACTAACCCATGCTAAAAGTGATTTGATTACATTAATAAAAACATAAACAGTCAAAACATGTTGATTCACAATAAAGAATCTGTCAAGTTAACAAGACAAAATCAAGCATGTAAAGAAAGGGAACCCCCCCCCCGGCGATGAATTCAGTGGAAGCATTGCGGGAAGTGGACTCACTGTGGCCGCAGGGCCGTCCTGCCATCACTGATTATGGCGGCCTTCTGACCACAGTTGTGGTGGAAGAGTAACCGGTCGGGCCCCTCCGGGTCTGGTGTGAGGGAGAGGGATGGCCTGGGTCGGCCTACGTCGGGGGATAGAGCCCTCATGATGGCGTTGTTGCGTCTGAGGCGGTCACTGTGGTTGTGGTTATGGACTATGGTGACTTTGACGGCCATGCCGTAGAGGTCGACCACGCCGTAGACCACGGCAGGGGTCTGGGCTGCAGCAACACCTGGGATATAGAGAACGGTTATGAGTCCAGACAGCTGCTTTGAGTGTTAACAGCCACAGCTATCGGTAACTCATTCACCATCGAGCTTCTTATCCAATTATTACCACTTCTTTTGCATTAAGTCTGCAGTGAAGCTTTGGATCATATATTTATGTTTCACTCAACCAACTCATCTAAAACCATTACCCCCCCCCTAATAATAATAATAACATGACTTTATTTGTGGCATCATGTCTACCCACTTCGAGCCCAGGCTTCCCCAGCAGAGTGTTTCTTTTCCCCTCATAAACGGTCTCACCTTGGTCGATTCCATTGATGTAGAAATGGAGCGCCCCGCTGGCTTTGCGCATTAACCCAATGTGATCGCCCTCCTGAAAGAAAAGACGAGGCGATTAATGAGACTATAAACAGACAATTCCTCATGATGATGACAGAGTGAAGTTTGTGAGGCGGAGCGTACAAACCTGAAGTTCATCGAGGCTGAATTCACAGTATTCTCTGCGGGTTCCTTTCCCGTTCGTCAGTATCCCACAGCCACTCATCATGATTGTACCTGACATGAACAGAAAGATAAGACAATGTGTCGAGTTTATCAAGATCTCCTATTTAGAGTTTCTATCTGTTGTTGGGTCATTTGTGTTACCTGAGCGCAGATTGGTCATAGTTGCAGGATAGTCCAGGTTGTTTGGATTGTGTGTGGTCACTCCGATCTCTATGGATCCTGACCACTTGTCCACTAGCTTATCAATACGTATCTGAAAAGATCACAAACATATGAGCCAACAGTCCCTTCATGCGTTTATTCGTTACGTAAACATGCATCCCTGCACTATGTTGTGAAACTGTAACCACCTCGAACATCTCGTTGTGTCGCAGTGGCCGGTTGGTCATCACCACGCCGTTATTGAACTCGTCCAGCGGTCTCCTCCGCTCGGCCGTCTTGTTGTTGTTGCTCAGTTTGATTAGCGTGCCACACTTTTCGTGAAAGAGCAACGCGTCGTTTGTCGTCATCCCGCCTGTCACCACCCCCTGCCCGACGCCGCCGTTACCAGCAGGACTGTTGTTTGTATTTTCACCTTCTCCGCCACTACTACCTCCTCCTCCTCCTCCTCCTCCTCCTCCTCCTGTTGTTGTCCCTGTCCCGCTGTCGCTGTTGACCGCGCCTCCTCCGCTGCTATTGCTCCCCCTGTCATTCCTAGAAGAAGACTCGGTGCCCGCATTTCCTCCTCCGCTGCCGCCGGCGCCGCCTCCTCCTCCTCCTCCATCCTCCCCTCCACCCTCATCTTCAGAGCGATAAAAAGAAACTATTGCATTGTTGAACACGTCAAAGAGCTGGTGCTCTGTTAGAACTGCAGAAAGAGAAAGAGGGGACGTGGAGGTGTGTTAATACAGGAGATGATGCTCTGTGTTCTTCAACTGATCCGAGGAGGAGTTTCTTACCCGTGTCTGGTTCCAGGTTGTTGGGGAACTTGTCCGGTCTGCTGTGACTGCAGCTAAGCTCAGGCACTGACGACAGAAAGAGCGCGAGAGTTGGAAACTACAAATCCCAGAATACAGACTGGTACCACACTGATCGAAGAAAAAAAGGGTTCCTACCTTCATCTCCGTTCATCATTCCATTCATTGCTGCCACATTCATCAGTGCCGTGATCCCTGTATCCTCCCGCACGCCGCACACCACCACCTCCTCTTCCTCCTCCTCCTCCTCCTCCTCCTCATCCTCCACCTCCTCGTCCCTTTCTATTGTCTCTTTCTCCGCAGAGGGCGGCGGCGGCTCACAGCCCACCACTGTCACTTGAGTGCACTTGCCGTACAGGTCCACCACCGCCCACAGCTTCGGCGGCAACCCGCTCGCCGCCGCGCCGCAGTCCTGTCCATTCACCCAGAGGTGGAGCTCGCCGCGGGAGCTGCGCTGGATGCCCACCCGGTCGCCCTCGGCTAGCTGGTCAAGGTCCCGGCCGTACTCCTCCAGGACGGAGCGGCCGTCCCGTAGCACCGAGCAGCCCGACACGATCCAAGAGCCGCCCTTGAGGCCCGTGGCACTGCTGGGGAAGTCCAGTGCCGCGGGGTCCAATGCCGTCACGCCAATCTCTATGGAACCGCTCCACGAGTTCACCTGGAAGAAACATATGGATTACATTAAAAATGATTCTACTTTAGCAACTGTTTGCCTGTAATATGTAATATGTCAGGGAAAAAAGGCCACAAGTTCAAAATCTTGAGTTCAAATCTCCAAAAAACCTTCAACTTCAATTATTATTATTATTTTTTTTTAGATTTAGAAAGAGAAAAAAAAAGTGTGGAAGTAGTAAGTAGTGTTTGCCAGCAGTTGTTACTCTGAGCTGTGATGTTCAAAGAGTGATGCACTGTGCTAAAAACTGCAGGACGATATCTATGGAAAACAAAGTGAGCCTTGTTGTATGATCCGTCTTGTTATTTTTAGGCGATCTGTCAGCAAAGAAGCTCAGGGAGGGCTCCTTTGAAAAAGGAAGCAGGACGGCGCGAACGCACAGAGACAAAAAAAGAACGAAAGAAAGAAAAAGGAAACACAAGCTCTGTGATAGCCAAATGTGAGTGGAACGATTGTGTGTCTCAACAGTGCACAAGTGAGACTCTTATTAAGAGGCAGGACAGTTGTGAAATATTGCACCCGGGGTCAAACAAATCTATTTCTCATTAACACGTCTCTCCTGAAAGAACCAACCAATCACGTGCACCGTCATACACTCTCATTAAAAACACGGATGCCTTTGCGTGGTCCAGCTGTGACGGTTAAACTTGAGCACACAGAGCAAAACAAGCCGTTTCAGCGAGCGAGCGAGCGTCACCTTCATGATCTGCCCCCCCTTCGGTGTTGGAAAACACATTAAGAATGTTTTACGGAAAGAATCCTTCTGATTGCGCACAACACCAGACTCATATCCCATAACACGCAGCCCCAGATATCCATTTCTCCTTCCGTGAAACTCAAATCTAAGCTCACAATGATGAGATACTTTATTGATCTCACGTTGGAGGGGGGGGGGGGGTGCGGGTGAATTCTGTCTTCTTTTTTTTTTTTGGCTCCGCTGCAGAGCACAGAGCAGAGTCACAGTTTACAGACACTTCAACCCGGCAGATGCTTTTCCGACGCGAGGGCACGAACCCCCCGTCAACCAACTGAGAAGTGATGTCCTGGCTAGCTGCACTCCACCTGCTCCCCCTCCTCCTCCTCCTCCTCCTCCTCCTCCTTCCCTAGAGAACAACATCCAGCAAAAAGCCATGCAGTGGATTCCTTAAAGAAAGGTAAATGAGTCAGAAGTACTCAGGGGGAAAAACTTGGAGCTCAATCCTTAGCCGCCTCTTTCTTCACCCTTTTTTTCCTCCCTTCCTGGTACTCCACAGGGCGCTCGTGTAAGTTGGCAGAAATCCACCCCGCTGAAGTGACCTTGAGCATAACATTGAAGCTCAGACGGCTCCTGGGATGTTTTTCCAGCAGCTCACCTCCATTATGAAGAAAGAAACTAAAACTAAAACGATATTTTTTTGGAGAGGTTGTTACTTGTTTTTCTTCCTGAAACGCTTCCCCCCGCCCCCCCGTTCGTCTCCTCTCTTTGTCTTGCTGCTGCTCGGCGTTCCTCCTCGGCTCTCTGACAGGTGCTATGTAAGTCAGTGTGCTACGAACGCCCGGGTATCTGGGTTAACAGATTTAGAAGGAACTCATCCTGACCGGGTCGCTGTGTGGAGGAGACAGACATCTCTTTCCCTCGCTCATTCACTTATGCAATGGCAGCCAGTGAGTGTCTGCCTCTCTCTCACTCTCTCTCCCTCTCTCTTTCTCCCTCTCTCCCTGATCAAAAGAGCGATAACTGCAGGATACAGTCAGACACGCCAACTAGGACCATTGGACAGCTTTTGGATATAATTAAAAATTAATTGCATCAAAAAGCAGGGCACGGGGAAGCATCCACTAAGTCTGAGCGGAGGAAGAGGTTTTCATCTCACACTAATGTAACAGCTGAACTCTGAATACGGGAGAGGTGAACTCTATAATCAGCTTAACTTTAGAATACTTTTACCAGCTGGGTTTTAGGACCAATTTTAAATGCAGATGGATATACATGGAAGACTGCTGTTGGGGCCCGCATATAAACTAACATCCACTCGACCAAACCTTGTTCTTCTTACTATCCTGCAGGTTTATTGTGCAACAAACATGTCGAATTTTGACATTGGACTCTCAGCACACTCATCTCAGTGTGCAGTTTCTTAGATTTGTTACATTTGTTAATTTCGACCATATTTCCAATGGTATTTTTTGAATAATGTTGCAGGTAAATACTATATAATAGAGCCGTAGAATGCCAGTTCAGCATAGCACATGATTTAGCAAGTAGCAGAGCACGCTACAGTATGTTTGTACACAACATGGCTTAAAAGGAAAGCTGTTGGTGTGCGTTTTTGTGGAACCACTGATTTATAAAAAATAACAGTTTCAGGTTTCTCTGGTTGTGACAAACAGCATGCTGATGCTGTCCACTCATTCTATACTTCCAAGCTAATACGGACTGTTTTCTCCTTTCTTAAAAAGTTGGATCTCCTCTCCGTAAACTGTTTGTCCACATTTGCTTAATTTTCACGTTCTCTCGCACTCAATTTTAAACATCTAATGTGGCTTAGTGCGGGTCAGTAGACAGGATGGGCAGTCATGCCAATCTGTGATGGGAAAGTATTGATCTTCAGACAGACGATGCATGTCATGACAGAGTACGAGGCTGTTTATGAGAGCTCTTATCAAACTGAGAGCGCCATAGATAATGGATAATCATTCACGTACACTAGGAGCTTCATGTTCAGCTTTGTCGGCTCACGAGCAGCTTTCCTCTCTCTCTCTCTCTCTCTCTCAGTTCGTATGTAAACATGTACATTCAGGGGGATGTTTGTGCGGCCCAGTCAGCAGCAAGCACAAGCTCTGAAGCTGCCATGGTGTCGTCTGTAAGTCTGAAGGCTTAGAGAAGACTTAGAGGCCAATACAGACAAGCTTTCTGACGCTGATAACGGATAAAAACTCAAACAGTGTGCACAGGCACTGATAGGCCACGAACAGAAGGGAGTCACGAAGAACAAGGCAGAGATAAAGCACAAAAAAAAAAAAGCTACAAATTCCAGAGAATAGATGAAATATGGAAGGAGAATACAACTCATGAACGAAGTGAGGATAGATAATGGAAATATGTCACGCAACTTTACGTGAGTTATCAGACACAGACCTTTTAAAGTGAACGTGTGGACCAAAACAAGGTCACTATCACGTCTAGATAAACTCAAGAATGTGTTCACAGAGCAAGTAACAGAACATGGACCCCATATTATCCATCATTCTTTTGTACAGTAGATAACAATAGATGACAAATGTCAAGAATTTGCACGTATTCAAGAAATAACCAAGAAAAGCTTCTTACAAATACAACAGGTTACAACACACTTTGTTGTGTTTGTATCATTTAGAGGCTCACCTATATCAGATCACTGACAGCAGGTAAGTGTGTATTGTAAGTGTACTGTAAGTGTGTACTGTAAGTGTACTGTAAGTGTGTACTGTAAGTGTACTGTAAGTGTACTGTAAGTGTGTACTGTAAGTGTGTAATGTAAGTGTACTGTAAGTGTACTGTAAGTGTGTACTGTAAGTGTGTAATGTAAGTGTACTGTAAGTGTGTACTGTAAGTGTACTGTAAGTGTACTGTAAGTGTGTACTGTAAGTGTGTAATGTAAGTGTACTGTAAGTGTACTGTAAGTGTGTACTGTAAGTGTGTACTGTAAGTGTGTAATGTAAGTGTACTGTAAGTGTGTACTGTAAGTGTGTAATGTAAGTGTGTACTGTAAGTGTACTGTAAGTGTGTACTGTAAGTGTGTACTGTAAGTGTGTATTGTAAGTGTGTACTGTAAGTGTGTCCTGTAAGTGTGTCCTGTAAGTGTACTGTAAGTGTGTACTATAAGTGTGTACTGTAAGTGTGTCCTGTAAGTGTGTACTGTGTCCATGTATCTGCACACATTGTGTTACTGGTCCAGCTTGGTGAGAGCACTGCAGTACTGTTAGCTCACCATCAGAACAGACTGTCAGAGAGCTGACAGCCTCCAAACAACGACTGTCAAACACTAAACTACAAGGCTTCTGTTAACCCGCGTACTTTGGCTCCTGTAGTATAACAGATAACAAAACACCACAGAGTCTTACTAGCACCCTCCAGAGAAGCTAGTCTACTGCTACAGCTAGCGGCTGATTAGCAGAGAGCTACCATCAGGTTCTCATGAGGTTAGTGAAACATGTCCACATAGACGTGTTTACTAAGTCCACTTGTTCCTCCTTAATCTCTGACAGGCTTTGCAAATCAGCTTTGCAGCCTCGCAACAGCAGCAGTCGCTGTCACAGTGTGGACCTCCGTGGGTAGGAGAATCCCCTCACTGCGGACAGACCTGGACCCCCGGCCCGTCAGCAGCGCTGCCCCGGTCCTCCCGCTGCTCTCAGCCCCGCTCACAGGCAGCAGCGGGCCTGTTGTTGTTTACCTTCTTGTCGATGCGAACGGTGAAGACATCCCTGTCCCTCAGCGGCTCTTTACTGAGCACCAGGCCGTGGTTGAACTCCTGGACTGGCTGGTTGCGCCGGGCGGTTCGGTTCGAGTTGGACAGGCCGATCAGCTTTCCGCTCCGCGGATGCAGCTCCGCCGCCATCTTCAGTGGGCGGCCAGTGTTCACGACAGTCAGTGTTTACGACAGTAACGTTATGGCAGACGACAGATTTCTGCAAACTGCACCGCACCCTTTTCTGTTAAACACGAATAACTCAATTATAAGCCTTACGCTTTTTTTGTTGTTGTTGTTGTTTTTTTTTTGTTGTTTTTTTTACTTTTTGGGACTTCAGGGGCCCCGAACTTTTTGACAACGAAGAGGTAAAAAAAAGTTACATAAAAAAAAAATACATAACACTCATTGGTCTTTCAAAATAAAAAGTGTGAAAGACAGCAGACCATATTTGTGTGATATTTGCTCTTTTTCATTCAACTTATTGATTACTTGTAGGCCTACATTGTGTATTCAAAACAATACAAGGTTAGAAACTTTAAATGATGGTAATGATGGTAAACAAAGCCTTAGACTAGCTGGCAGTGTGCACTTGTGAAGGGTCTCCTTAGTATTGTATTTTTTCTTTTATGACGACATGAAAAGTTAATTTACACGTTTTTGAACTGTCAGAATGTGTGGATGGCATTTCTTCAATGTTATCTGTTAGAATCCACTAGAGGGAGCAATGCCCATGCGTTTCTTCTCTTGTCTCCTGCATCAAGCCGCACCAATCAAGCAGTAAAATGAATACCACTTTAATAGGAATTATATTTTTAATTCATAAACATACATGCACCTCGGTCACAACACATAAATCTCTAAAATGTGTTAGAATTCTTAATTACTGCAAAACATTTGAACATTTTAGTATGAACTCATCAGATTTTTAGTAGAAACACCACTTTTAAATACAGAATGGCGATCATCATAAAAGAAAATATATTGCTATTAGGGTATAATGTTGCTTTGTACAGTGATATTGTGACGGTTTTGCCATTTGTACACATTATATTTTAATGGCTTTATTACCCAAAGGCATCCAATAAAAAACATTGTTCATGTATTACTGATGCATACTTCTTGTGGTTTATGCTGGACAGCTGTGAGAGGAGATTGACATGTGTTTGACAGCTAAATCCAGGTCCAAATCCCTCCCCTGAACCTGGATCTTCTCCAGACAGCCTGTCAGAAACTGGGAGCCAACGTTACCCTCACCCTCACCTGACAAAGGAAAAAAGAGTAAGAAAAAAACACGAGAAACCACCAGCCTCCATATTTGACATCTATTATTGGTTTTCTGTTTGGATGTATTGCAACTGGAGTTTTTTCTTGCATTGTCCATGGTTTAAATGTTGTTATTACCATTTTAAGGACTGTAGATTTGAACACACACACTGCACATAATGAGTGTTTCATCTCACCTAAGAGCCCACCAAAGGCAAGATGACCCTCCCTCCATGAGATCAGATAGTCCTGTTGGCCTGTCGGACTGATGGGGAACCTGGTTGTCTTTAATTCATCCCCATCTTGAATCACTTGAATTAAGTCCATCTGAATGATTATCGCCAGATTCTTGAAGGTGTCTTTCATATTGAAGCTATCTGAGCCGAAATTGAGTGTAATCTCCTGCAGATTTAAGAGAAAAAGAGAAGAAAGAAATTCCCTTAACTCAATGGGAAATAATGATATTGATCTTCCTTAGTTATCCATGAGAAACTTTATACAGATGCTGGAAGGGATTCAGTTGGACTAATGTTTAGTCTTTGTGCATACCTTTGTGTTATTACTGGCAACTAAAGCGAACATGAGTGGTTGCCCAGGAGCCTTGATGCTAAAAATGGTCCCATCCATCTTACTGAAATCTCCCTTTATCTCAAGTTTAACCCCATCACCTTCCATGATGGGGAAATCTGTGGAGGAAACAGAATAACATATACACATAACAACAAAATACAAATAAAAATGATGCATAATTGTTTAAAACATTCTCTGAAATCTTGAATTGTCAAGCACAATGTTCCACCTGAGGTATTAAAAATGGCAAATCCAGTGCCAGGGAAATAGCTGCCAGGCTGGATATGTTGGTAACAAGGCCAGAGCTCCCCTGCCTCTGCCTCCCAGGGAACACTGAGGTTCAGCCAGCTGCCTTCCCGCACACAGCCATCCATCTGGGGCTCGAACTGTAGCAAAAAATGTATTTATTGGAATGAACTGTACGTAAAAAAGTGTGTGGAACAGCAGGAGCATGAGACTAGGACAGAAATATTCAAGATTTCTATGGCAATCTTAAGTGGACATAGACACCCCGTGTCATGACAGGGCTGTTTGTATTGTACTGTTACCTGCACTTTACCCCACTATCTATTTTCTTACTAAGAATAGCTGACTAAATGTTGACATGCAAGATAATGTTGTATTGACATTCAACATTTGTAAATGTAGACATCCACCACAGAAGAGGCAGGCTTACTAAAGCCTCAATTAACCAGAATGCAATGCAACACAAAACAATCCCAATTTAAGGTCCTAAATCAGTGCTTTGAAACTAACCAGTCTTGATCAGCGGATTGAGTTAGTTAAATTGTATTGATATGCAAAGAGTTTATAGAAAGCACCTCTATACTGTAGGATGGTTAAAACATAAACATTGAAAGCAATGTATCTTCAGTTTGATTTTTTATTGTTTCAAGAAGAGGGGTAAGATTTTAATCTAAACGTTGTGATATCATGTCATGAAATTATGTAAGGATATTGCACAATATGATACGATACAATAGATTTGATTAAATATGACACAAAATACTATAAGGCACATATATGAGACCATACTATATGTCTTGATCCCATACCACACCATACCATACCATACCATACCATACTATACCACACCATACCATACCATACCATACCACACCATACCATACCATACCATACCACACCATACCATACCACACCATACCATACCATACCATACCATACCACACCATACCATACCATACCATACCATACCATACCACACCATACCATACCACACCATACCACACCATACCATACCACACCATACCATACCATACCATACCACACCACACCATACCATACCATACCATACCATACCACACCATACCATACCACACCATACCATACCATACCACACCATACCATACCATACCATACCATACCATACCATACTATACCATACCATACCATACCATACCATACTATACCACACCATACCATACCATACCATACCACACCACACCATACCATACCATACCATACCACACCACACCATACCATACCATACCATACCATACCATACCATACCACACCATACCATACTATACCATACCATACCACACCATACCATACCACACCATACCATACCATACCATACCATACTATACCACACCATACCATACCACACCATACCATACTATACCATACCATACTATACCATACCATACCATACTATACCACACCATACCATACCACACCATACCACACCATACCATACTATACCATACCATACTATACCATACCATACCACACCACACCATACTATACCATACCATACCACACCATACCACACCATACCATACCATACCATACCATACCATACCATACCATACTATACCACACCATACAATACCATACCATACCATACTATACCACACCATACCATACTATACCACACCATACCATACCATACATACCATACCATACCATACTATACAAACCATACCATACCACACCATACCATACCATACCATACTATACCACACCATACCATACCATACCACACCATACCATACTATACCATACCATACAATACCATACTATAACATACCATACCATACTATACCATACCATACTATACCACACCACACCATACCATACTATACCATACTATACCACACCATACTATACCATACCATACCATACTATACCATACCATACAATACCACACCACACCATACCATACTATACCATACCATACCATACTATACCATACCATACCATACTATACCATACCATACCATACAATACCATACTATAACATACTATACCATACCACACCACACCATACCATACTATACCATACTATACCACACCATACCATACTATACCATACCATACCATACCATACCATACCATACTATACCATACAATACAATACCATACTATAACATACCATACCATACAATACCATACTATAACATACCATACCATACCATACCATACCACACCACACCACACCATACTATACCATACTATACCATACCATACCATACCATACCATACCATACCACACCATACCATACCACACCATACCATACCACACCATACCATACCATACCATACCATACCACACCATACCATACTATACCATACCATACCATACCACACCATACCACACTTATTGCACATAAGATGCAATACAATAAATGCTGTAGATGTATGTTGATGGAAAGAAGACAAAAAAATCACCAAATGTCTTTAAAAAACATTTAACAAGATCAATTGGACACATTTCAGTGTTCAAAGATAAAGTGACACACTATACCTGAACAAACAACTCTCCCCTGTCGATCAGGAGCCCGCCCACGGCCAGTCGGAGTTCACCTGTAAGAGGCTTCTCATTCTTTTTTTGCTGCATGCCTACCACCAGCCCATTGGAGCCGTCCACCTCTAGAACCACAAACTTCCCTTGATTGCTCACCTCCAGCTAGGTGGCACCATGGGCACAAGAAGAAATTAGATTAAAAGTTGCTGCATTGTAACACATTGTGTTGTGACCAATTTGGAATACGAAACATTATGTCTAGTATGCTAATACTAATGATAATTCTTACGATTATGACACTTTAAGAAGCCAATTAATCTATGGGTTAGCCTTACATTTAACACATTTAAGAGTTTCTAGGGCAAAATAAAAACTAATTCTGAAATCAGTTATATTTCAAGTATTTGTAACTCCATTCACATATACTTCAAAACTTCACTGGACACTCACTGTGTGCCATTTTCCATCATTAAGCTTGGGTCCGCCCATCACACTGACAAGCATCTCTTCTTTGCTGATTTGCATCAGAGGTATCCCGTCCTTTAGGGCTAAGATAAACCAGTCCTGCCCATTTTTTGTGTCTCCGTAGAAAATTGCACCTTCTGCATCAAACGTCCTTAATTGAAAGGATGATTTGATACTGTAATATTAGAAAAACAGAAAAAAAACAGTTTTTGATTCAAGGGACGGAGGTTGATAGAGGAAAAAATGATTTATCTGTTTTTCCCCATTACTTTTTCTTGGGTTGCATGAAAATCTCAGAGGGGACAACAGTTAAAAAAAAGCCAGTATAATGAAGTGCTTATATATGATACATGTGATTAGAAATACAGGGCATGTATAAACAATCCTCAAATATGCAAGACCCTTTTAAGTCTGATTTTCTGTTTGAAATTCAGTGAGCAGCTGATATGCAGCCGACACGATGCAATGGTTTCCTCCTGCTGACGTACCTGGTGATCTCACTGAGGTTGACTGTTGTGTGGATCAGCGGCCTCCAGATGTCTCTCTCCTGGCCCAGATAGAGGGTTGCGCTGCCTGATACCTTTTTTTAGAAGACACAGTGTTCACAATGTTCTCATTTAACAATGACTCATTACATCTCTTTCCTCTAAACAAATCATATTCACTAAACACTGGCTCTTGTGTTTTATTGTCAGATATGTGGATCGGTTAGTGGTTTGACATCATTTATAACGGACATAGCTTTATTCAATATATGTATCTAAAAAAAAAAGTATATGCAACTTAACTAATTCTCAAATGATAATAAAGAGAAAAATCAACGTGGAGTTGGTGACATTAGGGACAGTTGGCATCAAGCGATGGGTATGTTGAAAAGACAATCACAAAAAAAAGGGTAAGAACTCAAAAAACATCTGGGGGTGTTTTTGAGATTATTCGTCCTCACACAAACAGAACAAAGTTCTAAGTCTAATTTTCAGAAGAGCATGCTGAGTAACCACTCTTCATCTGGCACCTGAACTGCACACTAGTTGACGCAGGTGTGTTTCGATATTACACCCACGCTGTGTCTATATTCCATCATTTAGAGCCCAGAAAACATGAGAGTAACAGAGACTGTTTAAAAATTATATATATGCCTACTGCAATCTTTAAAAACTATTCAAGAGGCTAAGACAGATTCCCAACTGTTTAGGGATCTGTTCCTGACTTAACATTGAGGAAAAACTCTGTCATTCCTTCAACTTTTCTGAAACTCAAGACATTATAATGGGTATGCCTTCATTTTAGAAGAGGTGAAATACTCATCTTTTCCTTTGTATTGTGACAATAAAGTTCATTCTGATTTTCTGATCTTTACATTGTTTTCTCTCTCCTGAAATGTTCTCTATTATGTGTATGGATACAAACACTCCTGACTGAACTACCCATCCAAGGCTTTGTTATTAAGGCTTTGCAGGTGAACATACCTTACCCGGTCTGTATCCCTGACCCTCGGCTCCCCATCCCAGCAAAGCGAGTAGCAGTCCACCTGCTATTACTTTCCAAGGCACGGCCATCCTTCAGTGCATTCAGCCAGCCAGGCCTCCCTGTCTGCAGTGTCCCGAGCACTTTGGTTGGTCTCAGACTCCACCCTGAGGTGTGGGCGTCAGGACGAGAAAGACTGTAAAGCGTTGGTGTGCTACCAAACTGTCCTGGGGTCCAGAGGTTCAAATATAGCACGGTGAGCGCAGGTTATCGACCCCCTGTAGGTTGTGCTTCACGGCTCTGTGGATGGGACTATACAGAGACAAGAGCAGCAGGAAAACAACGAAAAATAAAAGAAACAACATATAGATTAAAAGGCTCATAAAGCAGTTATGGACATTAAAGGAGTCGTTCCAATTTTAAATAAATAGATAAAAATGTACATTTCCATCAGTCTGTCAACAGCTCCTGCCTTGGTGAATCATGAGAGGACACAACCTCAGGCAGGGTGAGCGACCTTAGTCAGACCACTGATTTGTGTTTACCCATTACACAGGAACCCTGGTTCACCACCGCTGGCTTTGATTCAATGTGTGTGTTTGTGTTTGTGTTGAAGAGTGATGAGGACAGAGAGGGAGATGAGTTGGGGGCAGTGCTTCAAGTCCCGAATGTTTTCTGTTCCTCCTTTGTTCTAGGAATTCACTGATATCCCCTGTAATACTTGGGAAAAGTGCCACCCACAAAGTAAACAACCTGTTAGCCAGTTGATGAGTACTGATCATGAAGGCCAAATAACACCAAAACAGTTAGTGTACTGAAAGTCTGACGCACAGCTGATCTTGATGCCATAGTAAGAAAAGCTCAAGCGTAAACTGGAACATTACCAATGCCTGCGTTCCATTTAGCTGGGGAGGTGTTGTCCTTGTGAGGCCCCAGTATGTTCAATACACCAATTTACGCACAGCGGTCAAACTGTGTAACAACTTTCCGGGTCTGTAACATGATGCACACCTGTCAAAAATAATATCTCACTATATCTGCATGGGTGAAGGGGAGGCCAATGTGGAAGTGCCTTAAAACTGCATTCTCCTTGATGGCCACTAGAGGGAGATTGAGCTAGTTGCAAAAGGAAGTCAGATTCTAATACGATTGGAAAAAGGCCCTTCTTCCTAATTGATTTATTCACTCAGTTAACATTTTCCTGGTTAGTTTCTACAGTTACAGCTACAGTTTAAAGATGTATCCAGTGCAGTAACTTGTTAGTTTGGTAACATTTTTAGAATTGGACGATAAAGTAGGGATGCTAGGGTGTACCCTGAGGTTAATTCAGGTCACCATTACAGCAGCATGTCAATCAGGATAGAGATACATTGATGTGAGTCCATACTGTCACCTTAATAAGGTCACATGTATGTAAGGTGTATGCAGTCTATGTGTGCCACTGAACAATCTGCAAGAGTGACGGGGCCCTGTCTCCCACACTGTGTTTAGTTTTCCTTATTCATCCATAGTCCTGGTATTGCGTATTCTAATCATAGCTTACGGCCACAGCACAGAGCCATAGTTAATGTTATTAGCAGCGCCTGTGCTTTTTCTACTGAGACAATACAAAATGTCGGCTGTTAGAAAGATCCATTGAGGTAAACCATTTCAGCTCTTCACTACACATAAAACACTGAATTTATTATTGGCAAGAGAGCGCTGTGGCTTTAAGAAAAACAATCATGCCTGAGGACCTAAACGCCTTTTTTTTCACTCGTGACTTGTCACGATAGATGATTTGTGAAATGTATTCACTTCTGCATTCTTTTCATTCATATTCAATTTTGTCAGAAGTAATTCATCTCTGACATGCTATTTTTGCAAAGCAAAGACGGGTGAGTCATCAGGCTGACTGTTTCTGTTTACACCACTGAGCGTCACTAGCCGGAGAGTGCTCATTCAAGGCCAGGAGGGAGATGTAATCAGCCTCTGGTTTACACGTCAGGAAGCAACTTTCAGTGCACTTTATTTCGATAGTTTAAGAGAAGCATAACAGGGCGCTGTGGTTGATTTTACTTGAATTAGACACCATGAAATCAATAACTTTAAACCAAAAACTGATCCAGCTGTTAAAAAAAAATAGGAAATCATGAATCAAAAAATAAATGCACTGTCATTAAACTTGGATCGTGTGCTTAAAAGATGCGTAAAGTGCAACCCACTTTTCTTTGGACTCAGAATAGACTGTAGAAACTAAACAGCCACCAATTTTAGGCACACGGTCCACATTAGGAATTGTACTTGCAGTTTAAAATACTTTCACTTCAAACAGACATAAGAGCAGACTAAAGCTGAATTCATTGGGTCATCAGGTTAATACTTTATTTTGTTTGATTGCAGCAAAGAGAAAGAAAGGGAGACAGAAACGAGGGGAGAGAGAAGAAGAAAAGGAGACTACAGACTTTGGGAGAGCTGTGGCTACAAGCCTTTGTATCAAATCTAAAGACAAAGTCATCAGGCAACATTAAAACATCTTTTAAAAATAACATGAACATATTGGTGTGGGCTCTATATGGCACAGTATTACCCTAGACATGTACACAATACCAAAAACAGTTTAGCCATACCCCTAACATCTATGAACGGCTTCACAGCAAATAAAGCCATGAAATCTATCTCCAAGTTTGAGCGTCGTTTCTAAAGAAAATGTTTACTTACTATTCAAATTTCTTATGCCATACCAAGGCACCTTTAACAGTTGAAATCTGGCAGATCCACTTCTTACTATAGATAGTTTTTTAAATATCAAAGCAGAGGCACATTCATTTAAACTAAAACATACAGTAAATAGTTGTATATTACCACCAGATTCCAGTCCAGTCACTACAATACGTTGATTTGCATGCTTTTGGTCTGTATGATAACAGTGATGGCAAACTATGGCATAAGAAATGGTCCATCAACACAAACATGTCCATCGATAGGAATGGCTTGAGATATTGTATTGGAGACAGCAAGGCTTTTTTTTACATTGAAACTAACCCACAGAAAAGTGTCAAAGAACAAAAAAAAAAAAAGAACAGGTGGCCCATATACTGCCAAGGGATTTGCTGCTTAGGCAGATTTACAGTATTTTGGTTTTCTTCTTCAAGCAGTCACTCAGTCTCATACACAAAACACAAACGCCTATGCGCAAAAAGGCTTGTAACCACACCCATGGGGATGCTTGTGTGCCCCTTCAGTTGGTCACGCTGTGTTTCAACACTCCTACCCGAACTAAAAGGCGCTCCAGTACCATCACACACACACACACACACACACACACACACACACACACACACACACACACACACACACACTGAAACATATGTACTTCGTCCACAGGTGGTGAAGTGTGCAAGTGAAGGAAGAGGGAGAATAAAAAAAGGTCCTTGAAAGTGACTGTGAGGCATACATGTGGCAGCTAGTTTCATGGAGTTAATCCAGCCTGTGGCCCTAAAATGAATTCGAAAAAAAAAAAAAACAACAACAAAAAAACAGAAAAACAGAGATATGGAAGATGAAGAGACCAGAAATTGAAAAAGGAAAACAAAGGCTGTGCGCACGTTGCCAGATTTGCTGAGTAAATATAAACAGTTAGGAAGCAAGTGTTGCTCATGCTTTGTGGATACAGAACCCAAGATTACTGACATGTTCCTAGGACTACTGTATATATGCATACCAGACGTTATACGGTTCTTTAACAGGTTATTTGTGTCAAAACAGAAAAAAAAAAAACGGAACTGAAACCGACTCTAGCATTAATGCAGCTGTACTTCATTAACCTCATGACTAAATTTACATTCATATTTTTACGTTTACTCCCCCCTTTTTCACTGAAGCCATTTCCACCCGATATGAGGGCTAAACAACATAAACAACAACATAGTTTAACAAAACAAACATATATAGATAACATTACGCGTAACAAAAAGGCCCCAGCAGGGCGACTGGGGATTTTTCGGCCACCACTTTGGCTGCTAAGTTCAGCCTTCCTAAGTCTTATTAAATGACACAGGGCAGGAGGCGGGACATGTTCAGGCTATTTCCATCTCTATTCTGTTGGAAAGCAGGACAACACTCGTTGTTCCTGAAGTACATTTCTGTCCTTCCATCAGACGCTTTTGTGCCAATATATTCCTTTTCCTATTCAGAAAACCGCTCTTTACCCTGAATCCTAGTTTTCCCTCTTTGCTGTCACTGTCTTTTCCTGGCTTAGGAAGTGAAGCCTTTTCCTCTCGCAATCAACGAGGAAAAAGCGATGCATGATGAAGGCTGACTAGTTTTTATTCTTTTATTATTTTTTTTATGTGAAGGAAATGAGATGAAGAATGGAAGTGCAATGGTCTACCAGCCTTAATTTCTTACCCAGTGGCCAGCTACATATCAAAAGCAGCTACAAGTGTCCCCTTTATAAAGTGACCACTACTTCTCTATTTTGTGCACAAAAAGTATAAACTATGGTGAATGCTATACGGATCCTACAGTGCCGTCCAGCCACAACGTCAACGCCGAGTTAGTTGAGACATTTGAAGCTCAGATGATCTCATTGTCGCACTCACTTCACATCCAGCCATAGCGATGACTTGGTAATCATTTGGAATCATTACTAAATGCACTTCTACACATTGACCTAAATTAGCTCTCTTCCGACTAAAGTAGGAATGCTGTGTGCCTCTCACACAGAATGATCCGTCCATTCACGCACACACTACTCTCGCAGACACAGGCCTTATTACTGACACACTGATGCAGTAATGTCCTACCTGCTCGAGCCCAACTCTGCATGCACAGATCTCTGGAAACATGTGCATATACGTGCTCTTAGCTTCCATGGACAGTTTAGCAAAAAAAAACAAAAAAAACAAAAACACACCTTCATTCTCATTCGTTATGCAAACAAATGGTTTGAGTTGCTTGATGCTTAACTTCCTTCTACGTATAGAATAAGAACACTTCTGTCTCATTTCTTATCCGTGCCCACACAAGCCTTCCCTGAAGAGCGGTTATCCTCGTTATGTGGTGTCGACTATAAAGGGAAGCAGACTGAACTAATTTTTTTCACACAACACACACCCTGTTAGCAGTCCTTATTCTTATAGATAATATAATGAGTCAGAGAGGAAGATTAATCGAGCTCTAGAACTACAACACACTACAGCGAGACAGAAGAGATGTGGAGAAAGGTGAGCAGGAGTAAAGAGTGGGGAGCAGTGACGTATCTCTATAATATCGGCCCCTCTCCCCCATCTCTTTCCTCCTAACTCTCCCTTCATCCAACTCCTGATGTAAGCCTAGCTCTGATGTCTTCTTAAAAAGAGAGTGAGTACTCTGCAAGTGAACTCAGTGACCCGGTGAGCACGTACCCCCTCCCAATCCCATCCTTAACAGTCCAGGCGGTCCCCGACAAAGTATATTCCTCATAGTGCTTCTGTGTCCTAGGGTTTGCTGCTACTGCTGTCTCTTTTCTTGCTGCTGCCACTGCTGCTGCTGTAGAGGCTGGGATTCGCCACAAGGGGGTGAGGGGCTGCCCCCATGTAGGGCCCAGCAGTGGCTGCGTAGTTGAAGATGGCAGGGAGGAAAGGCAGAGGCTCAACCTTGTCCCCTGCAGGGGCCATCATGTTCAGAGCCACAGGAAGAGCGGCCAGGTTATATGGGTAGGCCAGGAGCTGGGGTCCATAGAGCAGCTGGTAAGGGTCTGGGTAAAACGGCAGCTTAGCAAGGTCCCCCCCATTAGGGACCATCATTTTCCCCAGGGGGCCAAAGGGAAGCGCTCCAACAGGATATGAGGACATAAGCAGGTTTTCCTCCTGCTTCTTAGCAGAGCGGTAGCCATCCGGCACAATAAGGGGGAGGGGATAATTATGGGCATGGTAGCCCACCGGGGTGCTGTCCTCCTGCTGGGGATCTCTCGAAGAAACAGTGTCCTGGTGATTCGGCTCAGGTGGCTGCGGGGCTCGGGGGAGTAGCAGAGCGTGGGCAGAGGGGCGGTCACAGGCACCAGCTGCTCCAGTGGGCAGCGTGAGCCTGTCCAGTCCTTGTGAACTGGCGTGAACCTGGCGGTTTGCTTGAGCGAGCCGTCCAATAGTTGAGGGGGACCGGCAGGGGGACTTGGGAGTGTGCCTGTGTGAGGAGGGGCCATTCATAGTGGTCTGAGAGGGGATGTGCTGAGGTGATGGCACAGGGCTCAAGGGCTCCTCTTTGGGGACCAACAGAGAAATCTGGCCCTCTGGTGTATGTGCAACTCGACTCATTTGCTGGCTCCTCTCGATCTCGTTTTCTGTGTCTTTCGCCATTTCTCTGTCCCTCTCCCTTTCTTTCAGTCTCTCGTGCTCCCTCTCTGTCTCTCTTTGCCTCTCTATTTCCCTCTCTCTTGCCAAGATAGAAGACATGGTCAGATCCTGCGCTTCGTCGGGAGAGGGACTCCTCGACAGGGAGTGAACTCTGAGGTCTTGGACCAGAGGTGGTTCCTCATAGCCTGCATGTAAAAATATACCACTCCCGCCCTGCCTCTCTCTGTCCATAATGACCCCATCCCGTTTCACGAATCCCCCCTCGGAGCTGAGAGCCGTTGTCATGGAAACAGGAGGAGCAGCAGTGGTTATTCTGGTGTGTGACGTCATGGGCACATTTGGAGAGGTGTTGGCGGATGCCACGATGTGTGCTGGGCTGGATATTCGGTGCATCTGGCTGTCTAGGCTCTTTTTGCTGGGTGTGCGGTAGTCGAGACATTCTGGTCCGTTCATGACGAGCACACTCTGGACAGTGGAGGGTGCGGCAGGTGTGAATCTGTGTTTGGTGGGCGTAAGGTTAACTGGGCCTTCTGATGGATGGTCTGATACTGGTGGGCCTGGCTCATTCGCTGGGGCAGGATGTGTGAGCTCTGTCAGTTCAGGTTTGTCACTGGATTCTGACAACTGATGTTCGTTTGTCAGTTTGCCGAATTGGTCTTTATGCTGCTGTGAAACCAATAAGTCACTAGTGCTGGGAGGGTCTGGTGATGAGTAGCTGATGACTGAAACAGAGAGAGAACATGGTACCTGTTCTGTTTCAGTCTGTGGATCTCTGCTTACAGTGTTAACCTCTGTCTCTGTTGTTTTTGGCTTTAAGTCTTTATCTTCCTTTTCTCTCTCGGGGGAACTGCTTAACTCATGGCGTCTGATATGGCGAGTAAGTGCGGAAGATGTCTTGCAAACCTTGTGACACTGTGGACAGGTGTGTCTTGACAATGCTCTTCTGCTTAGGCGACCCATACTTGAAGTGCTTCCTACCAAGCCTACTTGCCCTCCTTTATCTTCGTCATAGTTTGCCACCTCTGGCGCAGCTTTAGCCTCGTCCCCTTCAACTTGTTCGCCGAGTGCCATTTTAGGGGGCGCAGGGGATGCCTCGGTAGGCTTGGGATGCTGGGCTCTCTGGTGGTCTTCCAACTTATCCCTCGAGGGGAAAGTGGCTCGGCAGAAGAGGCAAACAAACTCCAGCAGATGGCTCAGCTCGTGTTTGTCTCTCTTCCTGGGGCTTGAGAACCAGCGGCCACATGTACCACACTCTGCTGCGTTCCCATTAGTCCAGGGCCGCCTCTTTATTCCCGATGGAGCCACTGAGGTAGACACAGGAGGATTTGGAGAGTTAAGGGGAGCTGTAGCAGTCTCATGACAGGCCTCCTTAACTTGTTCTTCTGTAACTTTGTTTTTGCCCTGTACACCAGCAGAAAGGTAATCACACTTATCCCGCTCTACCTTGTCTCTGTTAGCTTTTGAGAGTTTTTCAACTTTCTCCGTCTCCTCCTCCTCCTCCTCTTCCTCATCTAGGGATTTGTCTGTCTCTTTATTCACATAGTTCTTGAGCCTCTCTGCCCTCCTCTTGAGCCTGATGGAACGCTTGAACTTCAGTTTCCTCTGCCAGCTTTTGACCCTTTGTAGGTGTGCTTGGGCCTTTCTCTTCGGTTTGTAGGAGTAATAAGGCCGCCATAAATCATCCTCTCCATCGTGGTCACTATCCTGCTCGCGCACCTCCTGGCGGAAGTAGTACTCTCTCACCCTATCGGGGGATTTAGAGCTGCTCTTTCTGCCCTCGTCCTCACAATCGCCCTCTTCCAAATCGCCCTCTGCTTCCAGGCTTGCTCTGCGGTGGAGGCGGTGTGTGTGTTTATGGTGGTGGGAGTGTGCATGGCGTGGTTCCTTGGCTTCCTTTACCAATGAGGTTTCACTTCGTTTGTTTTTCGGGGGAGAGAGGCTCTTGTCTCTCCGAAGGTCTGTCTCAGAAATGCTGCGCTTTACTATGGCTTCCTCACCGATTCGCACAGTTATCTGGCACAGTGGCCCTGCCTCTTTGACCTGTGAGCCTAAAGATGCTGACAGCTGCTTTGAGTTAGAGATGTCACTCTTACTATGTGACTTGCGTGATTTGTGAAATAATCTGCCTGTCTCTGCATCCTGTCCCCTACCTCTTGACTGATCCTCTGTGGCATCTGAACTGTCCCTTGACCTCTTTCTGTGGTGATCTGCACTCTCCCTTTGCTTTTTGATAGGCCTGGGACTGTCCTTGTATGAAGTCTGACTGTTGCTGGTATCAGGGGATGGGCTATTTGTTGTACTTTTGTCACTTCCAGAGGTGACCTGATTACTATGCACAATGACGGAGGATGACACCGCTGTTCCATGAACAATAACAGAGGGTTTTGTATGGCCATATGTTATCACAGAAGGCATGCTCGTTCCTATGCCTTTACTGGTCTTGGGAGGTTTGGTTTTGCTGCTACTAGACATTTTGAAGCTGCCACTGCACCTCCCCTGCTCTAGCTCTAGGGCCTCGTTATCAAGTTTTCCAACTTGGGGCATGTGGGTTGGGGGGAGGGGTGTGAGCGCTGAGAGGTCACTGTGCTCAGGAGTCACAGAAACCGGGATTCCATCAGGGGAGGCATCTGGGTCAGGCTTTACACTCTGATGGTGGGCCCCACTGACCAGGCTTTGTAGGTCCTCAGGGCTCAGAGCACAACCCAGGTCAGGTAGGGAGAGGGAGGATGTTTCAGATGGTGGCAGTAGCAGGCCGTTGTGCAAACTGTCATTGTAAGTTTTGTAGGGTCTCTTCTGGGAGCGCATTGGAAGGAGGCGGTAGAGCTTGAGGGCATTAGCTTTCTGCTTATAACCCCCATTAGCTGTTTTTTCACTGGAGATGAGGCTGGGATTAATCCCATGAATTGTCTTCTGGTGTGTTTTTAGATTGTAGTACGTGGCGAAAGCATCCCAGCAGAAGATGCACTGGTAGCGCCTCTCTCCTGTGTGCCACACCTCGTGTTTTGTGCGGTACTCTGCCAGGGCAAAAACCTTATCACAGAAATGGCAGGGATATCTGCGGCGCCACGAGTGCACGTTGGAGTGACGCTTCAAGCTGGATAGAGTCATGTAGGAACGCTCACACACTGAACAGAAGTAAATGACATTGCCATCTACCACCTTCACAAAATGGTGCTCATCACCCTCTAGTAGCTCTGAAGCTGCTGCATCATCACCTTGGATACGAGCCAGGAGGCTCCGTGCTTTCTTCCCTGGCCGCACCTTACTGATGTCTGTTTCTCTTATAATCACTCCCCCCTCCACTCTCACCTCACCCTCTTCCAGTGGCTCTTCCTTTGGCTGCACAGTAAGAGAAGGAGGGCCGAGGCTGTGGGAGGGTAGACCTGGTACCCTGCAGGATGTCTCATGGGATTGCAGTCTCTTACTATGGATGAAAACTTTACCACAGTAGCGGCAACTGAGGGCGCGGCTACCACGATGCAGCCGCATGTGGACTGTGAGGGAGGAGGCTGAGCTGAAAAGCCGATGGCACACCCCGCAAATAAGCTCAGGCTTGAGGCTGTCAGTGGGGGGATAGGAGGACGAGTGAGGGGGTGCAGTAAGACCCTCAGATGGGGGAGGAGGAGGAGGGGGTAAAGGAGGAGGGAGGTGCAGGGTGGGTGGGTGAAGACTTGGAACATGAGGGCTCCCCACTTTGCCAGCTGGTCTTCCTGGTACTTTCTCTCTCCTCTCTGTGTCCCCTGCTCTCTGATAGGCTGATGTGCCCAGACCGAAGAGGATCTGAGCTGTTCGAGAAGGAGAGGCCGTGCCATTGGCCAACCCGTGCCTTTCATCCCATCCATCGCCACCATAACAGCCACCTAAAGACCCACTGGAAGATCTTGGGGGCGACCTATGAAACTGAGTATCCGGATTGAGTTTGGAGCACTTGAGAGGAGGAGGAGACTTTATGTCCTTCCTCATAGGTGCATGGGCGATCATGGGAGACGAGGACGAGGATGGGGAAGAGGACGGAGATCTATCATGCCTCTGGGGCTTAAAAGGTCTGTGTTTTACATCCATGGTAGCATCCAGTTTCCAGAGGGACCCCTCATCTGAGCTCTTGGAGGATGGCCTTCTTCGATGGGGTGAAGGGGAGGACGAGGAAGAGCTACGACAGTGGGCTGAAGATGTCAGAGAGGCTGGAAGGGGGGCGGCACTGAGTGGGAAGCTTAAGGTGATTTTTGCATTTTTAGGTCCATCAGCCATGTCCTCCAGCCGGTCCTCTATCATGGCCTCTCCCCTGCCTCCATGCCTTTTACCCTTCATCTCCAGCTGCTCAGCTTCCTCCTCCTCTTCGTCAGGCTTAGAAAGACTCCTTAGACTGTCGACTGGTTTGTGTAGCCCTTCAATCTTGCTTGAGCCGCATATATTAAGAGGTGAGGGCGATGGTAAGGAGACTTGAAGTGGGTAACCGGAGTCTACAGACACCAATGACAGTGGTGGCAAAGACAAAGGCAACGGCCCACTCTGGTGCCACGTGGATTCAGTATTTGCAGTTTTTGTGGGGTTGCAGAGGGGAGTTAGCCCTGCAGCCAGGCGTTGATCACTCAGTTGTGACTGAATAAGGCCCGTATGGAGGGGGTCCCATACCTTCTCACCGGACACCATGACCAGCCCTCAAAATCTGAAAGAGAAATCAGACAGAACGTACAAGCATTAGTAAGAGCCTAGGACAAATGTAACAAAAACTTTTTTTCACATTGACACAAAGCAAATAATAAACATTACACTCAAAGCTTTACTTGTGGAACACTGTTGAGAAACGGAAAAGAAAACGAAATGCCCCAGCAATGCTGAACTCCAACAACTCAGCCAGGACTGGTGAGTGAGCGGAGGGAGAGGGTGAGAGGAAGGAATGAATCTGCAGAAGTGCTGGTTTAGATTTCAGCATGCCATAACCAAAGTTTTAGAAAGGCATTCCATTGATCCATCCCTCTGCAGTGACAAAATGCAAAATGCAAAATTGGAGAAACTTTCAGACTTAACCAAGATTTTCTGATAATAGAGAGTTGACTTTGATCTATGGCCCAAACGCACATAAAAAAATAGTCTAACTGTCTGGCTACTTGAGCAGAAACCTCGTTAGCCATTCCTGGCAGTATTAGCCAGGCATGACTCTAACCATTTATTTGTGAAGGCAAAGCCAGCAGGGTAGAAAAGAGGGGAAGAGGAGAAGAGAGTGAGATAGCATGCATGTGCACAGAGAAGGGGTGTTTTTCCGCCCTCTGCATCCGGTACAATCTCAGCTAAGCTGTAGGAGATGAGCGACAGGCTATTCTCATTTCCATTCTAATTTGACTGCCATGGTGGTTGTTGCAGTCCTGCTGCAATTTCTCTGTACATAAGACAACTGCAGATTCACATGTTATAAGCAACATGCTGTTAGTTCTTGTTTAAAATGGGTCCATTTGTTTTGGGCCGTGGATTTACGAGAAGAACAGAGACAGTCTAAGGCCATTATGATGCGACCAGCAGCAAAAACCCTCAGTCATGCTTTTCTGCCTGCGTTTTCAAGCCGCAAAGCAGCCAGGAAGGCAGGCCGCTGTAAAATTCCACAGGCAGCCCTGAACAGGCAGAAACTAGGTCAGCACTGTTATTGCAGAGGGAAGAGGAGGGAGAGGGTGAGGATGAGGGAGAGTGGAAGGGTGATAGAAAAAGGGAGAGAGGAAGAAACTGAGGGTTAGAGGGAGAGAGCAAGAGACAGAGAAGGAGAGAAGACAAGGGGCGAGGAGTTCGGGGGGGTGAACCGGAACTGTCAGAAAATAAAAAAACTGCACTATGACAGACAGAGGCCAGGACAAACACTGCCACACACAACACCAGAAACATATAATCATGCACTCACACAAACAAACATGTAAACAGCACTGTACATACACTCAGAAGTGCCAACAGGCTGGACAGACGGATAAAAACAAAGAACTTTGACACGGATTGGCCAATTTGTGAATGACATTTAAAACCAAAAGGTGAAACTGAGTGCAACTCTGCAGTGAAACAGAGGGTACAGGTGGATTGAAGTATTATCAACACAAATGGAAACAGGCCGCTTTCCTGATGACGTACTGGTACTTAGTGCAAGCAGTGGCACATGATTTTTGTTGCACCTCCAACCAATTCATGGTTGTCCAATGATGCACAATTCTGTCTCCACAGGCTTGATGTATATCTAAGCCCCGTATTAAATCAGGCCTTCATTGTCAGCCACATTTGCAGAGCAATAGACGATGTGCAGGAAATCCCTTATGGGAAGCGGCAGCATGCTACAAGTGGGTGGACACACTGAGAAAGCGCTTAGGCTAAAAATTTCACCACCTCATCTGATGCTCTCGCCATAGACAGAAAAATGCGTATGACGCCCCCTCGCTCTTTTCTTTATCTCCCTGTGACGCATGCAGCCGCTGCACAAGCAGAGCAGGCACGACACGCTGTCTGACTTTGACAGACAGCTTTAAACATGCTTTCAATGTGCTTGATTCACGAAGACACACAGAACTGCATTCACAAATGCATGTAACACGCAGAAAGACCCTTCTCACTAGTGCACGTCAGTGGCTGCACATAAAAACGCACATCTCGTCTTATGTAAATCATAGGCACACTCAAAAAAATAAATGTGTCAAGGACCCCGAAGAAGAATCAAAATAAACTCATTTTCCACACCTCTCTGCAACAGGATGTTCTGTGCAAACAAACAAGTTGTTCAGCCTGTGTTCCTCTATTTATGCTTGTGGCACTACAAAACCGCAAAGCATGAACAGGTTCTCAGCTGGTGCAGGACAAATTGCAAAGTTGACTTACGTAAACATAATGCACATCATAACACAGACATTGGCTTTGAGATTGTGGCAAAGGCCCCTTCGCTGACAGGCAGAGGGGAAAGAAGCATACTTTAAGCCATGCTCTTTTTGAATTTAAGTCCATATCACTGTACAAATTTAAGGCAAATAATGTTTGTTCATTGGAACTTCAATCTTTACATTGCTTTTGAAATCATTAAAAACTTGTAAATAAGTCTCACACATTCGACTTTAAACTCAAACCTAACTGCTAACATTTTGGGGCCGATTCAAAAACAACAGAACTTTTACAGTTTGACTCTGAGATATTTTGCCACTCCTTTCTGAAAAACATGAATGACTTTATGTCCTTGGAAACCGTTAGTTTGAAGCCACTAACTATCAAACGGAAAATCAGTCACGAGGAGCATTAGTGCTAAAGTGGCCTTGCATAACATAAGGCAGGACGGCAGAAGAGTTTGGCTAGTACGCCAGCAGAAGGCCTTGAACCAGCCGTTAGGCAATCTGTTAATCCACACTGAATGTGGGACTTGTGCTGAAAGATAAAACACTGCTAAGATTGAATTAGTTGTTTTCTTTTCTTTTTCCCACATCCCTCTAAAATCTATTCAAACATCTGTGAAATTATGAACATCAAAAACTAAACTCTTCAAAGCCATGTGGTTCAATGATTCTTAAACTTGAGATTCAAACATTTTTTATTATTATGTAGCCGTTATCAGCAGACACGTTTACAACTCTCTTCCTGCAGGACTCAGGACTGTGGATTAACATTACTTTTACCAAGGAACAAAGGAACTGATCAATGACTTAAGTCTCCCTCTCAGACAGGATATTATGAACTTTTGCAACACCTGGAATAAACAACCGAGCAGAACCAGAACACTCTGCTATCTACGAATTGACCCAAAAGACATGAACTGTGACCGAAACCAGTCGTAAAATTTACCATCTGTTGAAGGACTGCGTTGAATTCTGCATCAAATGAACATTTATGTCTTTCTTCATCTAGATATTTGTAATTGTCACATTGAATGCATCATAATCATCTTTTTAAACTCAAAATCTGATCTTCAGAACAGCAATAAGAGTTATATTATGTTTAATAGGAATTTGATGTGGAGCGCTATTATACATTTAGACGTGTTCACTCTTCGATATTAGCTATAGAAGGTGTTATTTAAAGACACCAATTTCTTTTCCTAATTTATTAATATGTCTTATTAAGAATGCTGACTGTATAACATGTTTTTGTTCACCTACAGGCTGGGATTAACTGAGGATGTTCCCAGATGGTGTGATTTTCATCTCAGCATGAATCCGAAAGAGATGTTTGTCTAAATATATGACATGAACCTACATCAACGTGGATCTGATAGAAATAATATCGAAATGAATGTATGGTGACGTATACATGTTTAGATTCTTATTCTTAATCTTATTGAGTAAACTCGGTTTAGTTTAAACAATTGTCCTCCGGTCAGAATGGTAGTCACCTGTGGGCGGCACCCCTCTTTGCCTGCAGACCAGCCTCCTCTCAGCCAGCAGATAAAAGTTCACACTGAGCTCAGATCTTTGGGTTCTTCTTAGTTTTTGGTTTGTGAAGTTTAGAGCTTCAGCTCTTGCTCTCTTCTCTTCGGACTTCGGTCCGAATCATTTCTTTTAAGTTTGTGCCGTCAATTCTTTCTGGCTCAAGCAAAGGTTTTTGAACTTTCTTCTCCAGAGTCTTTGCTCTTCAATTTTGAACGCCAATTCCTTAGTTTGGATTCATGAAGATGGCCATCCGGTTAATCTGAATTGGAAATCGACGTATCAAAAGACTCTTTAATAATTTTTTTCCTGTTGGATCCTCTTGGAGCTTCTGAGACGACAGCTTTAACCAACGTACAATCTCCATCCCAGCTGCACACTCCGACCCAGGTGTCAAGGCATCTAATCTGGCCCGTGGACCTCTCTGGGCCTGAAAAGAACCGCTTGCCAGAGACTGAAACGCGGGACCAGCCGGAGGAGTTTAATTAAACACATCTCACAGTAAGACTGCTGGTTGCAAGGGGTGTTGGAAGATTGAGTCTTGAGTCGTGTCTATTCAGAGCCCTCCTTTAAATCCAAATAGAATCCCAAAATTCCTTTATCAACTTTTTCTTTTTGACCATTTTCAAGTCATTCAAACAATACCGCGTCTTATCTCATTACTAAATATATAATGTCACCATACATTATATTTGCGTTATCCTGATCATAATAATCATATTCTTTATCTATTTCATCTATATATTATTGTTTACCCCTTTTTATATTAAATTTTACACATAAAATTCAGGACTTTGTCTGTGTGTTTTCTTGTTTAACATTTCCAGAACTTACTTCTTTCAAGATATGAAACTGACTGATTAATTAATTAACTTATACCATGAAAGTTATTTTCTTCCTTTAACAGGAAGTGGTGCCCCTTCTTAAATCCGAGGTTAAGTAAAGATATAACATCTTAATAATTCAATTACGCTACAATTATTTATTTTTTTAACTTTCAAAATTATTTTTATTGATTGTTTTTGGATGCGTGTTCACATTGCAATTAGATGGCACAACAAGGGAAAAGAACGAACCAAAACCCCACACTCGAACTGAAGATTCAAACATTTTTATACTTTTTTTGTATTTTACTATAAATGTAAACAACTTTTTTTCGAGGCCTCTCTAAAACTTCTTAAATAACACACCGCTGAAATGGTGAAGTCATCTCTAAACTCAAAAACAGCAAACTCAAAAATAGAGAAGAATTCCTGATGAGTAACAGTTGTTTCTTCTTTTTATAGTTTAAGAGGTCATTGGGCCTGCTAGAGTAAAAGCTGAGATTGAAAGAACACAGCGAGGTCAACCAGGCATAACACGATGGAGCAAGGGCAATGGGAAGCGGGATGTCCGGTAAGCCGGCAGTTTAGAGATGATCAAAATCCCGTTATTTTGGCCTTAAAACTGACAGTGACCCCATTAAAAATGTTGACAAGAAAAGGAAAACTCATGCACAACACAAAGGTAACCTGATGGAATATACCGGCCCCTTATGTACTGCTGATCCAATCGAAACCAAGAAGTCAGTCTGCAATTTTGGAATCTCTTCTTCCCTCTTTTAAAAATGTCTTTGCGTTTACAGAACTGAGCAGCGGATTGTTGAGTTCAATGTTAATCTTACAGAAAGGAAGGGACGGTCAAATTTAAGAAAATAAGAACTAAAAATGGGATAAACCAGGAAAACTCTTTAACTATATATTTAGCAGTGATTTGCTGTCATCCTGTCAATGTGTGTTTTTTGAGTTTGTGTGTGGGTAAGGAGGTTAAGGGGAGTGTCTGCGAGGCAGAATGTGGGGGGCCTCGGTGTTCCAGCCGGTGAGCCAGCGGCAAAGAGCATGAGGGAAGAGGAAGGTGTCGGTTGGGCTTTCTCCCCAGTGAGGGGCAGCCAGAGGGGCCCAGCTATTGGAGCAGCAGTTGATCTGTGAAGAAAAGGGTGTATGTGTGCTCATAAGGGTGTGGGTGGGTGGGTGGGGGAACATCGTTAGCAGGAACAGCTACTGAACTCTCCACAACCCCCGGCCAAGAGAGCATGGTGGAGCCAGCCAGATGGGATGGAGAGAGGGAAGGAAGGAGGGAGGAGGTAAGGGAAGCTGGTATGGGTCGGGGGAACAGTTGAGTAGTCGAGGTGGTAGTGGCGGCTGTGGTGGTGTGAGGGGGAGGAAGCTGTAACTTCAAACATGTCTCTGTTATGTTCACATTTTGTGGTTTCCTCGTCTTTTAGATCCCCCCTCAGCATGACTGACTAGATGCCCCTTCATCACCCCCCCCCCCCAATGTGTAAACTGTCGTATCGTGGTGTTTTTCGCATTGCCGCTCCACGCACCAGCGGACCTACCCACGTCTAAAACGGCACACTCTCCACGCTCTGTTATCCCTCAGCACAGCAGGTAATTCCCATAATTCTGCTCGCTGCAACAGAGTCTTGGGGAGGCATAAGGAAACAGTAAGGCCAAGAAAGTTACCCTGGAGAGCAGTAACACTACACCGGTGACCTTTTTGAAGTCATTTCCCCAAAATCATTTTCAATTTCACACAGAGTCCCTATTAAGGGGAGGGGGGTGTAAGTCCCATTATGGCTGTCGGTCTCAAATAAACCAAGAAACGTTGGAGCATTAGCAAAGGCTGAGCCAGAGCGCTGACCGTGAACTGAAAGTACATTGCAGGCTCGAAAAGATGAAGTGCTGCACCAGTTTCCTAAATGCGTCCGCAACCTTTATGTTTGTGACATGAAAACAAACAAAGCCTACCAGCTTGATCTTACAGCTCACAAGTCTTGCATGTTTGCCCTTTAATGTCGTGGCGGAATAAGGCCTAAAGGCAAAAACAGCCCAGAACGAATAACCCAAGGAAAAATGACAGAAAGTAAAAAAAAAAAGTCGCCGCCACTGTGACAACATCTAAGTAAAACCACAGCGAGGAACAACACTTCCTATTATCTGACCTATGACCTCTACTCCTCTGGCAGTGCGGATCATATGTTCCATACATTGAGCACAGGGGGCTTGGCTTGGCATCCATGAAAACCAGGAATGCGAAGTAGTTGACAGCAGATGCTCTGTTGTTTTGGAAAAAAAGAGCAAGGTTAGGGGCAGCAACAACCGTGTTTGTGACATGAATATGCCCTCTGCTGCTCTACAAGAAGACAACCTCCTGCAAAACAACAGGCTGGGAAAATGGAGGATAAACGGGGCGGCCCGAAAACCGAAATAAAAAAGACAGAACCGGTCGGTGGAACTGGAGATGTTTACTGTCGCCTACATGCCAGTTTTTTTTTTTTTTTTTTTTTTCTAGAACACTTCATCTCACGCTGGTGGTTAGATCATGGGCAGTATGGGGGACTGGGCCCACCATGTTAAGACCCCATCAACAAAGCTAACATCTGTTCTGACATGTGCTGACCTACCCCCACACCCCCCCCCCACACCCCCACCCGTCTGCGGTGAACCAAAGAGAAGCAGGAGGCTTAGATAAATTAAAAGTTTCATCACAATCTCAAAACGAGTCATCGCTCTTGAAAAAGAACTGCGTGGTGCGCCAGCAACAGAGGGGAGGATGAGGGAGACGAGGCCTTTTACTGGCAAACACACACACACGCACACACACACACACACACACAACACACACACGCACACACAACACACACACACAGACAGTACTTGCACAGACACACATAAATACGCTTCCACAAACACGCTGCATAAATATGCACACCCACCGCTGCTCACGCCCCAACACACGCACAGTAAAATAAAAACCTTTTCCTCCTCTTCACGCGCAGAGCAAGCACCGCCACAGCAGCCGAGTGAAGCAGAAAAAAAACAAGCAGGAAAACAACAGAATTCAGCCTCTCTTCCTCTCTTTTTCTCTCTGGCTGTCTCTCAGGAAGGCAAGCATACAAGAGAACGTACCTCGGAAAACCTCCTGCTGCATCTCTGCTGCGATGTGTTCTCTCCCCTCACACTCCCTCTCTCCCTCTCCCTCTCTCTCTCTCCCTTGGTCTGTGTATGCGCACGTCTGAGTGTGTATGAGAGAGAGCAAAAGAGAGAGAGCGAGAGAGAGAGAGAGAGAGAGAGAGAGAGAGAGAGCACAGGGAGAGGCGGTGCGCACACACATACAAGCAGCAGTGTGTGAAGACAGAGGGCAGGAGCGATTCTCACACTCGAACTTGCTCGCTCGCTCTCTCACTCACTCCCCCTTTTTTTTTTTTTTTGCTTTCTCTCTCCTCTCTCTCTCTCTACACTTTTTGCCTCTGACCGACAATTCTTGATTTTGGTCGCTTTTCCTGCAAGTGAATCCCCCCTCTCTGTACACCCCAAACCAAGCCTTTCCGACAAAATCCAATCTTCTTTTTATTTGGAAGTGTTGTTTCCTCACACTACACACATGCACACACACACACACACACACACACACACACACACACACACACACACACACACACACACTACTTTATATACACAAAGCCCGGCGATAGGGAGAGGGAGGGAGAGGCAGAGGGAGACAGAGTGAGAGAGCAAGCAAGCAAGAGGACGCCATTTAAGCAGTTTGTTACGAGCACTGCAAGTCCCCAAAATGGCTGAAAACAAACAGGAACCACGCCAACTCAAAAAACCTGGGCACAAGGACAGACAGACAGACACACAGACAGGGAGTGAGTGGAGAGAGGGCAAGAGAGACTGCAGGAAAAGTGAGAAAGAGAGAGGGAAAACTGGTGGTAGTCAAATGGCGGAGAGGAGCACTCTGTGAAACAAGTGAAGTTGTGGAAAAAAATGGAGGCATTAAAGTGATACTCCAATCCTTAAGCGCTTCATTTCCATAAAGTTCAAGGACTTTTGAGTAAAAGAATGGTCAGAATCAATGCGGCAGAAACGGAGACACCCTGACCTATAGTGCCAAATATAGGTCACGATAACTGCTCCCTAACGTTTCCCATTGGTGCAACACTATAGCGTCTTACATTTGCCTCTTCCTAGCTGGCATACTATGCCCACATCTGAATCCTCCACTTCTAAGTTTCCAACCCTGAAGGGCATTCAGCCCAAAATAGCACTGTGTGAAAACAAAGCAACAAGCTCTGTTTGTAGGGGCGTTTTCCTTCAGGTACAGGTGAAACTAATTAAACACGATCCAGGACAGTTTGTCCAAGCAATGTGTCCGTTGGCACGAGGGCAACAAAAAAAAAAAACACCGCACCGAGGGTTACTTCAAAAGATTTCAGAAATGTAGAACGTGTCGTTAATCGATCCTCCGTCTTGGCAACTTCAAAAGAATTATTTGTGTCAGGAAAAAGTTGAGCCAGGGGCCCATTTTACAAAAACGCCATTTTGTAAACACATTGCAAGACTCTTAACGTTCACATCACACGATCTTGCATGCTAACACATTAACATTAAATGTGTCTGAAATGATGGGAAACAGGCCGAACATCTGACTGCTCTGTGTTGCTCTAAAACAGCCCTCGCCACGATTGTAACCAGAACACAATCGTATCGCCACCAACTTTGGATGTTTCCTCGAAACATGATTTGAATGTTTCCAATGGCTACTCGTGAAAAGTAAAGTGGTCTTTGTTTGGTTGAGCACCTCTTTAAAAAAAAAAGAAAAAAAAAGAAAAGAAAAAGGGGTCAAAGGTGGACAGATGAGAACAGACACCGGGGCAGGGAGGCTTTTGGATTGTCCATGCCATCATCTAAAAGGGTTCAAGTGCTATCAGTAGCAATGCTGCTCCTGATTATTAACAAGCTTTCAGCTCAGTGTTTCTGTGTCTAAAACATGTGGTTAGACTTGAAGTAACGGTGACAAGGGCTGTTTTGTTTTTAAGCAAAACGCTGATATCCACACTCCTAATTAATGGCGCCACTGTAGCGCCATCAAGACCTGCAGTCGGAAATCCCTCCTTAATCAACCGTAACCCTGCAGAATGCTTAACAACAACAACTCTCTTCGTTATGGTCGCTCTCAGAAACTGCATTCAGAGGAAAATCCACATATCTGTCCATCGCAGATGAGCCGCTCGGCTTTATCAGCTGGGGCAGGACGGCCAAATAATGAGTGGAGGGGTTGAAGGATGTTCCAGATCTGTTTTGCAACAACAACACCATCATACTTCCCACTGTCCTTTTCAAAGGAGCTGCTACCCCCCCCCCAATTCCCCACCAACTGAACCTTGACGCCAACAACCAACCCTCCTCCTACTCTTCCCCTGCCCTTTCCCTCTCTCCCTCTTTCATCACTCTCTCCCACTCTCATTGTACACTGCCACACTTGTCTCCATGGGAACTGCTCTGGGATTGGGTGTTGTTCCTGTGACCTCTCTGGCTCTTGGAGTTCGGCAAACTTTTTTTCTTCTTCTTCTTCTTCTTCCCCCCCCCCCCCCCCCCGTCCTTTCTCATGCACTCCCGCACGTTTTCAAAGCATGCTGGGTGTGTTTGGACGAGACGCATGACAGCAGTTGTGAGTCGATTCAGGACAGGACAGTAAAATTAAATCTCGAGGAAACATAATGCCTGTGTGAAAAGACGAAGCAAAAGAAAGAGAAGGAGGGTGTTTGTGAAGCAGATTGCGAGTTGGCAAAGACAATAGAGATTTTGTGTGTGTGTGTGTGTGTGTGTGTGTGTGTGTGTGTGTGTGTGTGTGTGTGTGTGTGTGTGCGTGTGCGCACGTGTGAGCATGTGGTCCAGGAGTGTGGCAGCTCAGTCCACACATGTGTGCTGGCATTGTCCCGTGGCTCCGGCTCTGTATTCAGAGGCCCTGTTGTCCAGCGGTCCCGTTCATGGATGTCTGGCAAAAAGTGATCATAGCTTTCAAAGCGGGTCCTACTGAGGGACACACGCATCTGAATACGCAAAAAGATGGAGAATCTGAGGGGGCCATCTTGGTGGAAAATGTTAACCGTTTGCTAACAGAAGCTTTCAACGGTTAACCGAAGAAACTGAAAAAGAGCAACTGAGTCTGAAGATCAGTGTTCAATCCAGACTGAGGCCTTCATGGGGTGATTATCAACATTCAAGCTAAAACATATTCCTTCATCTTTTTTTTATTATTATTATTTCAAGGGCATGAATGCTGCAGTAACAGGTGGTGACTAAAGCTGTCCTCTTTGATGTCACCTCAGCAAGTTCATGGGAACATTGAAGTTTGTTTGTGCCATTTTATGTCATTATTAGACTCATGGCTCGGCCTGCAGGTAATTTGAAAGCCTTAATGTCATTAAATTGAACTTCTTTGCAAATGACACGATGTGGCCGTGGAGCAGTCCGGACCAATCCATGAAAATCTAAACTTTAAAATAGCGTCAACACACTTCACCATTTGATAACCGCCGTCCTCGACAGCTTGTTGCCTGTAATGCGTGCATATAAGGACACATGCAGACACACGATGGGTGTAAAGTGAAACTAATCTGCAGACTGAGAAGGGCAGCAACAGTTGACAACAGTTATGTGCAGTTGCAACACATCTATTATAGAGGAGAGTATCTAAGCTCAGAGCTCTGAGAGCACAGTGGAAGTTGCAGTGTCTGATTATAATACTCTGTGCATATCGATTATAGCTGCTTTTTTAGAGACATACAAGACATTTTAACAGAGACAACATCTATTTAAAAGTAAGGGTTTTTGTCATAATTCAGCGTACAGTGGCACCACATTGAACCACGACATGGTTTTTTTTATTCCAGAAACACAAGTGCAATAATCATTTTATTACTTCAATGGAAAGGAGTTCACTGAGTTCAACCTCCCCATCAGATCCCCCCCCCCCCCAAAAAAAAGCTGTCACGCCTTCAGTCAGGCTTTTTAGATTGTATCACATCTATGTATTTATTAATTATGAAATCTTCAGTTTGGCTTTAATTTGGTGAAAAGATCCCTGAATTATTATGGGTTTTTTTTTTGGTTTTTTTATGATGACGACAGTTACTTGAGTCAACTCTTTGTATAACAAGGTTTTGTCTTCAGTGCATATGATTACTCAATATTACATGTGTGTGAATATGTCCTGGGGCATGCTCAAGGGTAAGTAAACATCCTCTGTGATCTCAAAGAAGGGATGACTAACCTGCTCTCCAGCTGACTTGGACTGAGATCAAAGTGGGAAGTCAATCGGCGCTCGGAGTTCAAATGACAGTGGTTTTCTTAAAGAGGAAGCAGCAGCTTTACGAGGACGACGCAGCACTCCGGTGTCTGTGGCCTGTGCACAGAAATGTGAGCACAAAGAGGTAAAATGAAACCACAGCGCACGAAATCTCTCTGCGAGTTACTTGTACAGACAAGCATGGCAAATGTTTATATAAGTCGTCACACATGCACAGCCGTGTAAAAGGGTGTTTTAGCCCTCAGTATTGTCTTACAGACACAGGGGCAGTGTGGAGAGCAACTTTGTGAAACCTTCCTCGAAATAGGGAACACTGAGCGAGCTCCAGCACGTCCTTAGCTAACACTTCTCAGCTGTTTATAAAAACAAATGTTAGGGCAACGATCCAACAACACAGCGCAGAACATCTGAACACAAAACAGCTCCCATATGAAGAGCTCTCATTGCACAAGGCATATAAATAGTTCTTTCTAAAGCGCACTACATGCTACTGCAAAGCAACACCTTTGATAGATATAAAACACAAAAACAGGATGTTGTAGGTAAGTAAACAAATCATACAGGCTGCGCACACAATGGAAATTCTACCACCTTTATGCAGACGACATGCAAAGTTACCTGCCTTTAAAAGAAATGAGGGCAGCTCATTGAAACATCTGCTGGAGGACATCTGCTTAAGGACATCAAAGAACATTTCATGCTTTGAATGATATTGAAATGACATACTTCAATGAAACCTTTCCCCCCCTCCATAGTTTACAATACTATCAGGACTGTTTTGGAGACATCTGCACAGTGATTGGTTGATAACGTAAAACTGATGTATCATTCTTTTCTTTTTCTTTTTTAAAGCAGCTCTGAAAGGCATTACTGTCCAGTTTCATTCAAGCTGAACAACACTTTCACAACTATATCAGCCTCCAATCGGTAACAGTGAACTTGCCGCCTTTAAAACCAG